AGTCACATCCTGAGTGGCGGCCAACTTCAGGATGAGATTCAAGTTCTTGGGTGAGCCTTGAGCGCAGCTTTGTTTTATTTATACTCAAGAGAAACTTGTTCACAAATATACGTTTATTTTCACTCTACATTGTAAAGTATGAAAATAAAGTTTACACAACCATCTCGCGGGCCGGATCCGGCCCGCAAGTGGGTTAAATCTCCAGCGGTCAACGGGCAATTGGGCGGGGTACACCCTGGACAGAGAGCCAAAGGACAATTTATGGGCCATTCCCATCTGTACCGGGTCGGCCCGGGCCGGGTAGCGTAGGTTGTTTACATATCTGGGTGGCCTGGTATTTTTCCGGGCCAACCAAGGCTCATTCTCAGCCCTCTTCTCGAGGGGGTCTGCTTCAGGCCGACCAGGGCCAACACACCCACTGCTGACAGCAAATGCACACCTTCCATTAGAGCAAGCCTCTGATTGGTGGGTAGAATCAGCCCACATGGGCTTAAGGCAAGGATGTGTGGAATCAACCGGGCCGACTGGGGCTACCCGGCCCGGGCCGACCCGGTACAGATGGGAATGGCTCATTAGACAGACCAATCAACCTAACAGTCATGTTTTTGGACTGTGGGAGGAAGCCGGAGTACCTGGAGAGAACCCACGCATGCACAGGGAGAACATGCACACTCCATGCAGAAAGATCCCAGGCTGGGAAGCGAACCCAGGACCTTCTTGCTGAAAGGCAACAGCTCTAACCACTGCGCCACTGCGCAGCCATGGTTCCTTTCCCCCGGCATCAAAGTGAAATATTTTGGAGGCGTTCCAGAAGCAAAGGGACACTATATTTACATTTCAATTATTTTTTAACACACTATGCTTCCATAACATATCAAACTCTGCCGTTCAGATCAGGTCAGACAGGCAGTTAAAGACAAAAGCAGTGTAAAACACATCTGGAAACATTTAAAATAAAAGTCACATGCAGGTAAACGTATGTGATTTTCTGTTTAAACTCCCGTAGCCGATGTCAGTGGGACAAAAAATAAACCACAGACCTCTTTGGATACATGCTCCTTACTTCTTATTTTGTGGACTTCTGAAATCACTTGTGTTGCAATTCTCCAGTGATTTTGTGACTTTGCGAGACCAGCGGCGTGGAACGCTTTCGCTCCTGTTTCACGTCCGAAACACTCCTGGTTGGAAGGGAGGTTGCTGGTAAAACATCTATTTTGTTTCTGAGAAATTGGTCACTCATTTTTTATCATCGGGGGGGGGGCACTGGTGCCTATCTCCATCAGTCAACGGGCAATTAGGCGGGGGACACCCTGGACAGAGAGCCAGTCCATCGCAGGGCATAATATAATCCTATGACCACTCGTAACTTTTTAACCACAAAGAACCTAATGACAAGCTGGAAAACAAACCTGTTGCAAGCTCCACCTGACGCAACGCTCCTTCAGAGTAAAAGCTCAACTCACTGACCCTTCAGGGTCCCGTTGACGCTGTCAACCAACTGCCGCTTACCTGGGAGCGTTCCAAGACTAGTCTGTCGTACCGTACGCTGTTTCATCGGCTTCGGTACCAAGAGGGTTCGAGAACCTGGCATTCTGGATCTACAAGGAGGTCTCCGCAAGGGTATGTAGACGGCAAGATAGCGTCTGAATGTGGTTTTTGAAACTCCGACTAGTTTAGAGCAAAACATTCGCTCCCACACAGAACTAAGGCTTCTCCGGAAACGAGAGTTCTGATAACAACATTCCACATTTACACCATCCATCTTGCCTCTTTCACAACCTAGATCCATTCATCACACAGTGTTTAGTTAAAGTTAGAGTTAGCCTTGTGTTAAATTGTTTAGAAATAAATCTTCTTAAACTTTTAAACTTCTTTCTCTCTCTCTCTCTTTTTGACTCTGGGTTATTATGAAGTGTTACCTAATCCCTGCAATAAAAAGTTCAGATCTTCTGATTAAAGGTAGTATTCAAAGATACATCAAGTTGATTTCATATTTTCTATGGAATCTCACCTTTGATGGTTTCCTATAGGGCTGGGCGATATGATGATTTTAGACCGTTTTACGATCCACACATCTGACGGTCTGTCATTTTTGAGAGACCTTTTTATCACGATTCACAGCTCTGCTGTTGAAATTCTGTCTCTGAATGAAAAGGGAACTTACCCCAGGCGAATGACACGCCTTTGTTTGACCCTTAACCAATCAGAGTGAGTCACGGTAATATATTAGTGCCCCGCTTGTTTTCACCTGTGTGTGAACAAACATGGCTTCCGCCGCGGCTGAGAGCGACAACGGAAGTTACGGTGTAACTATGGTTCTGTGAGTTCCTGACCCTAACCCTGACTGCCAGTCACAGGGGTCACTCGGAACTTCTCGGGCAAGAAGATTCCGGGAGACCCGAACGTTGCTATCGGCGCGTAATTTATAGACTCGCGACCAGGTGCGCTACGTGTCACGTGCGTGACTTTGTTTACATTAGTACTCGACCTGCGCAGAGCGCGAGGAGATACATCCACTCTGTTTACTCCACTGGCAGTCAGGAGGGAACGAAACAGAACGAGGTTTTCGCTCCGAAGAGGAACGCCTCGTCCAACTGGTTTGGTTTTTCACCAGATGACAAAGAGCAGCGAAACGTCATTTGCAAAGTTTGCAAGCAGAGCGTCAAGGCAAGTGATGCAACACCACAAACTTGTTTAATCACTTGAAAAGAAGGCATCCCAAACAATACAATGAGAGCCAGCTGGCAGCTAAAGCTAGAAAGCCTGCGGCTGCAGCGGCAGCGGCTAGTGCTTCTTCCAGGCAGCAAACGCTAACAGACACTCACAAAACTCACTCCCTACGACAGAGACAGCGGACGATGGAACAGCGTGACCGATGCAGTGACGTACCACTTGGTTAAAGATTTGTGTCCCGTGCCAACAGTAGGAGTGGGATTTAAGAACATGATAAAAACATTGGATCCGCGCTACGAGTTTTCCAGCCTCAAGTATTTTTCGAACTCCGCCATTCCACGCATGTACGCTGAATGCAAAGTGAGAGTTGCAGAAAATATTCAGAATACGCAGTTTTTTGCTACCACAAGCGATCTCTGGTCCAGCCGCACGTCAGAGCCGTATTTGAGCTTAACTATCCACTACATGAGCAACTGGGAGCTACATAGTATTTTGAACAAGTGAATGTTTGTACAATACGTTTGCAATTGACATGTTTGCACTTTAAATATGTTTACGATTTTAATTTATGTTAAGTTACTTGAAAAACGAGAAAAACTGATTTTTGTAATTGTTTCTCTCAGGGCTTTTATCATCTCTGGTGTGGGTTTAAAATATAAGTGTGTTAGCACTGTGCTGATTATCCCTAATATGAATAAATGTTTATTTATTCAATGTTTCTCTCCTTTAATAAGCAATTGAAGTTATGCTATTTATGGATAAAAAATCGTGATAAAATCAAAATTGTGATAAAATATTGGAAAAATCGTGATATTCTATTTTTGCCACATCGCCCAGCCCTAGTTTCCTACGTAAGATGTAGCTATTGATACTCTACACCTGCGAGCTAATACGGCAGCGCCGACAATCGAAACTGGACGACGGTCGGCAAAAAGCTCCAGAGTTGTTTAAAGTGGTTGCAGTAAAAATAGTTTACCACATGACGTAATTATTACTTCATTTCCACATAATGCACCTTTAACAATAGCCAGTTTTGCTCTAGAGACTTTGCTTGCTTCGGGTGACATCACCTGCCGGTAGGTTCTTTGCAATAAATTAATAGCTCAAACCAAATTACCTCTCTTATGGCATACTGTGGCAGTAGTGATGAAGAATATTTTTTTTAATAATTTGTCTTGGAACTATTAAATACTTCCCATGTTGGCCTTTTGGTAAATGAATGAATATGGTTGTCCAAGTCAATTCTCAGGATTTAAAACAACAAATTCTGCACGTGAAACGAAACTGATCCTGTCTGACTTCATCTGTCTGACTATTTTAGGACTGAAATGTCCTGCTGTGTTTTGCAATGCAATTCTTTTGAAATGTTTATAGTGTCCAAAACATTCAAGTGAATCAGAAAATAAATCAAATCCAAAACGGTAAGTAAAAATGTATGTGACCCTCAATTTTTCTAAATTTAGTGACATTTTCTGGCCTAAAGAAGCTTTGCAGCAGAGGCATTCTCAGCGGTCTCCCGTGCTGTCTCAGTCACAGACTCAGAGACTCCTTTGGTCAAAAATAACCTCCTGGTTGAAGAAAATGGTCTTTGTCAAATGCAAGTCCATCTCTGTTTTCCGTGTCCTATCGGTTGCTTCTCCTGCCCCTCCCTACCAATCGTCATGTCTGTACAGCTCGTGGTCAGCATGATTGTCAGTCTTCTGATTCATGAAACACATGTTTCAGTGGCTCAGAGCTTTTCATGTTTCCTCAAGCATCCCCCCCCCCCCCCCCCCCCCCCGGCCCTTGACGTACAGCCGTGGTGAAAAGTACTCCATGTTCAGTCATCAATCAGGGAGTTACCAGAAGGATGTAAATGGTACAAATGCTTCAGAACTGCGTATCCGATCTGGAGACGGCTGTGTTGGCCTCTAAGAACTGTAGAAAATAACTTACCTAACAGTAAGTAGTTTGTGGTGGGGAAACTGTTTCCTGAAAGAAAGAAAGTGTTTAAATAAAAGGAAAGTTAAGATATCCCTGGAATTGGCTTGTTGTGAGAATGTTCGGAACGTTGGGCAGATGTTGAGCGTAAAACCAGAGACAGCTCATTTATCCACTACTGCACTGCAGTTTTAGGACGTTGGCACACGCTTTTCTGCTTAAACACAGCGTAATCTGGGAAACGACATGCCTGTGAGCTGCTATGGTGCTCAAGAGCTTCACAGGTATCAGTTTCAGATTTTTGCCTGAGTTCAGCCTTTTATAGAGATTTGATATTCCAGAAGTTATTTGTCACGTCTTTCCAAGCCCCCAAAATAAATTACTTGGTGTCTGGCAAAGGGTGGGTCGAGTCAAGTGCTGGTCTCAGTTTTGGTTGTGACGACCTGTCATGTCAACGTGTGTGCTGCTCCTGCTGCACTTACTCTCTCCAGTGGGCTCCGTGAAGTCTTCACTCCTGATGGACCACACAGCTGCCCGCCTGCTTGGACTCTGCGTGAACCGATGCACAGAGGAAAAGTTTTAAAGATCTGTGGTCCAGATTGAGAAGTTACTTCTGAGATGCATCTGGAGAACTCAGAGCAAGGGAAAGGCTCTGGAGAGGGGGTGCTGTCAACCGAAGCTATTCTTGCTGAACAATGCGTCGTCTCTAAAGTGGCAGAAGCTGCAGATTTGAGCAGCCCTCCGAAGGGAAGTGCTGAACTGGGCATAAAGGTCCTTGTGGAATACACGGAGCAGAGGGTCGGCGCAGAAATGGATCCTCCTCTTCTTTGTGTGGAGCCTGACAAGCCGAGCACCGATGAAACTGGACTCTACACAGAATGCAATGGACTTACCGAGCACTTTAGGGAATATCCTGCTTCTGATGGGCTTACTGAGTCTGATGATGATGATGATGATGATGCTACGAGGTTAAGCCAGCTATTTGATGAATGTACTCAGCCCTGTGAGTGTTTTAAACTTTGCAAGTCCTCTGGGCACTGTGCTGATCACAGCTTAGCCTCTAGAAGTATTCTTTGCAGTGAGCACTGTCCAGAACCCCTCCTATTATTTCCTCAATGTAAGCTCTCCAATCAACACTTGGAGTCTGAGGAATTTGAGCCACATGAACCGGAGGTGAACTGCAATAGTTCAAGGGAGACTGGAATGTCTGATTTCACGCCGGCGTGCACAGATCACCTGGAGCTGCTGCAACAGTACGAGCCATCGGATCAGGAATGTGACTCGTTTGACTCCGAGCAGGACGAGTCAACAGAGGACTCGGAGCAAAGTTTCTCACGTAACATCTCTGACTCAATGGAGTCACTGGACTGTTCTGCTGAACTGTGTGGGTGTGACGAAAGTCAGATGCAGCCTGAATACACGGATGATGAGGATGAGTCCTACGAAGCTGAAGAAAACAAGATGGCACTCACTGATGATGAATCCTTAATGTTATCGAAGGATGTGACTAATTTCACTGATGTTCCCTTTGAGAACGATGAAGAAGAAGAAGAAGAAGAAGAAGAAACTTCTCAGGAAAGTTCTGAAGCAGATGTATTCACAGATGCTGGCGAGTCATGTGGAAATGACGAGGATGAAGCAACTCAAAGGTGCCACTCTGGGAACAGTATAGAGTTCTGCAATGAGGAAGACAGTTTTTCAGAAAACTCTTCCCTAGACACCAAATCCTTTAAGTCTTGCCTTGATGACAGTTTTCCTTCTGATTCATCGGAGGAATCTGATAAAGCAGCTCAGGAGGATTCAAGCGACGAGCAGATGCGATGGGACTCTCTGAACGAGGACAGCGAAAGTAAACTGAAAAGCAACGAGAGCAATGGTGAACAGCAGAAAACACAAACTGTCGGTGCTGTCATTCAGGATTTCTTTGATTTCTTTGACAGAGCAGAGAGCTGTGGACACATGTTTGCACAAAAGCGACGTTACATCTCCTGCTTCGAAGGAGGAGATATTCACGCCCATCTTCATCTTCAAGAGGAGGGGCAGACGCCTACGGTCGAAACTGGGTCTGAACCCGAAGACGTGAAGGAGGAACTTGTTCCAAATGAAAATGTTCATTGTGACGATGAAACTGAAATCAGTACGCATGACATTGACACGAGTTCTGAAGATGCAGCTGAATATACAGTTAGGAAGTCATCACAGAAAGAAGCATATTGTGATTCAGAACATCAGTCAGATGACTGGACCATGAAATCTGAGTCAAGTTCAACAAAAGAGGAAGCTGAAGAAAATAAATCTGAGATCTTATCAGACATAGAGAAGAGTGAGGAGATGGAGGACAATGATCTAGAGAACAAGGAGGACACAGAAGACAATGACCGACAGAACTTTGAGGGGATGGAGGACAACGACTCCGAGAACAGGGAGGAGACAGAGGATAACAACATCTCTCTCCATGGTGAAGCTGCAGTGTTTGATGGCCACAGTTCTGACGTCTATGATGAGAAGGTCTCTCTGTGCTCTGGTGCTGGTAGTATGTTTGCACCGTGTGCCAACGAAATCTCAGTTGAGGGTGATGCTTATGAAGACAAGGTCTCTGCTACTGAGGACCACGAGTCTGTTGTTGATGCTTCTCCGACAGATCGTTTGGAAACGAGTGTCGATCTCAGAGATGACAGGAGAGAAAAGCCGGATCCGGAACACAACGACTTTCTTTCTTGTGCGGAAATGGAGCCTTACTGGGCGCTCATAGATCACGAAAACATTGTAGAGCTTTGTGAGTCATGTGTTGAGGATTACTATGCATATGAAATTAAAAGCATTCAGTTTTCTTGGCAACAAGCTTTAAATGGATTTATAATCAAAATCAGTCCAAATAAAGATGAAAAAGACGATGAAGATGTTTTCAGAGACGAGAAAGAAGATGCTCTTTCCTCTCTGAGAGAGAGTGAGTTGCAGGACGTTAAGGTCTGCCAAGAGGAGGACAAGTTGGCTGGATCTGGAACTACTGTTGTGGAAAACATGGAACAAGCCAACAGTGGGAGCTCAACAGAAATAAGTGCCCCTCTGGATGTAATACACAGCGTTGTGTCAAAGCACACCAGCGAAGCCACACAATCCAGGGATTCAGACGAGGAGCAGAGTGACGACGAGTCCATCGATTGCTGTGAATGCGACTACTGCATCCCACCAACGCAACAGGTACCACACACCTCTGTGTCAAAACAACAATACTGTCACTTCACAGATGCAGAAGTGCGTCTAACGGAGACTTAAAAACCCGATCCAATACTTGATGAAATTATTTCAAAAGGAGTTGACCCAACAACAGCTGATTGTATTTCCAGGCTCTTTGCCAGAACAGAACTTGAATTCAGCGATGTGGATGACTCATCTAGCTCCAAGTCGCATTTTAACTCCATATCTGTAAATTCAACTGAATCAGAGCAGTTTGTGTACTGGTAGCCATCTTGAATCTTCTCTTCCATCTTTCAACAACAAGTGATAATGAGCCTGCAGGACAAATCCCGAGTTCTATTTTTACATGACAGGCAATGTTTAATGTATCCGTGTGGGAGCAGCAACACGGACACCGAGCGCAGGCCCGCTGGGTCATGCTGGCTTGTTTTTAGAAGCAGAATCACATTAACAAGCTGTGATTGCTGCACACTTGCTGAAGCACACACGTGGAGGCGGAGCTTACACGCTCCATCAGCATGGCAGCAGCTGCATCCAGGGCTTACTGTAACCACTCAGAAACAAAATCAGTCACTTAAACAGGTTATCCCATAGGGATAACTGTTAAAGTTCATGGTATACTTCATTATGATTACATTATTCAGCCCTCTTCTGTGTATCTCCAGGTTCCTGCTACACCTCTTCTCTCACAAGTGACAACAGGTCAAGAGAAGATCTGCGTGGTCATAGATTTGGATGAAACTCTCGTGCACAGTTCATTCAAGGTGAGTCAGAGTTTTACTTGATGTTGATGTAGTATTTAGAGGACATACAATGAGGGAAGTCCCATATTATCGGCCAATATTGGCATTAGAATGTAATGTCAGAAATGATCAGCATCTTTGGCGACACCGCTTCCACAGCACATCAAACTGTTCTGCTACTTCTCCCACTCAAAACATAAACTACAAGTCACGTTAGGAGGAAGCTGGACCCAATGTGCAGACACCCAAAACGACACAGGGAGCAAGCAGTTGAGAAATGAATAATCCTTTATTTACAAGCATCAAAACCAAAATCCAGAAGGCTCGAAACACCAGGGAGGTAACTTAAACACAGAAATCACAGGAGGCTACGAAACACACTGACAGGAGACCATGAACAGACAAACACAGAAGACAAGACCGGGGCTTAGGCCTAGTCCACACGTAGCCGGGTTTTTTTTTAAAACGAATATCCGCCCCTCCAAAAACTTGCATCCACACCACCTCGTTTTAAAAACAAACTCTGTCCACACGTACCCGGATAAATACGTTGTTAAGGACATGCCAGACCTGTAGGTGGCAGTACTTCCCCCGTTCTTAACCTCGTCCTACGTCTGTGGTCTTCCGCAAGGAGCAGTAATTCTGCTTGCAAAAACAAACAAGCAGAAAGCGCTTGGACGATTGATAAAGCGAGAGCAGCTCTGAGGGCATCCATGCTGTCGGCTAGTGTAAACACAGGTCGCACACGTGATGTCAGCATTTTTCTGTCGCGGAAAGTGACGTTGCGGACCTTAAAACTCCGGTTTTGTCCGTCCACACGCAGACACCCAAAACGGAGAAAACGCGGATCTTCACTTTGGCCGGAGTTTTTAAAAAGATCCGTTTTCGTGTGAAAAAACTCCGTTTTCGTGTGGATGACAGGCCAAAACGTAGAAAAATATCTACGTTTTGGCAGATCCCCGGCTACGTGTGGACAGGGCCTAAATCAAACAGGGCTGAGGGGTTAAGGGAACTGGGAACAGGTGGGACTGATGAACTGAGAGGAGAAGCAGAACCAAGCAGGGAGGAAACCAGACCTCAAACCTGTAAAACAAAAGTTACTCAACCTAAACATTAGAGGAATAAGGACACATGGGGGCACTAAAGATAAATAAACCAATGACCTAAAGTGTTATAGAACAAAATACACTGAAAGGCTGGGGGATATTAATACCTGATCAAAGTAAATGACACAACAGGGAGGGGACGTCTGAGGGGACACAGGAGACGAGGACACGGAACGCGACACTAAGACGGATCTGAGGTCTAGTTTACGAGCCACTGGTGTTTGTTTGGCACCACTTGTGCCCTGTGAAGTGAGAGACTGTTAGGAATGTCTGAGGAAAATGTGATTCAGCTGCTGTTGGAGATTAAATAACTACAGCACGTTTTTTCTGTTGCCTAACTTAAATAGAAATAATTGCCACGTTTTAAGTTTAAAGCAGCAATCAGGAGATTTTAGTAGAAATCTGTTAAAGTGATTGTCTTGGCGTGTACAGTGATACAGTATATAATGGAGGCAATACATACATTTATGTATGTTCCCTGTTCCATATATGTGGACCATATATGGTCGTGTTATTTTATGTGCAATTTAATGCAGTATTTTTCAACCTTGGTCTGCAAGGCAGCGTGCCAATAGTCACACACACCTGGATTAATCAGTTTGTCCAATGATGTAAGACAGGAAATAAAAGAGCTGTGCTTAATTCAGGAAATAGTGAAGTTGTGCACAAAGCTCAGAAAGCACAAGTTTGTTTAAAAAAAAATAGCACAGCCCCACCAAAAATATTTTTCACCAGCCGCCACTGCAACTAATATTATTCAGTTTTCCTGTTTTATTTTGGTATTGTTGCAAATCAGTATGGGAATTTTAGCCCTTCCCTCCACCGGCTGTGAATGTGGTTGCGTAACGTAAAAGCAACATTTTACCCGCAAGCTCATTCCCAACCAGAAGCAACTCTGATGTGAAATGGGAGCGAAGGCGTTCTACCGATAGCTTATTATGATGATGTCACAAAATCACGTGAGAATTGCAACACCACGTGTGATTTCAGAAGTCCACACAATAACAAGCAAGGAGAAAAACAGCTGCATGTATCAAAACAGGTATGTGGTTTATTTTGTGTGCTGTTTGCGTCGGCTACGGGGGTTTAAACAGAAAATCACGTACGTTTACCTTCATGTGACTTTTATTTTGAATGTTTCCAGATGTGTTTTAAACTGATTTTGTGTTTCACTTCCTGTCTGACCTGATCTAAACTGCGGAGTGTAATATTTTTTGGAAGCTGGCATGTCAAAAATTGTCTTGCCAGGTAATGATAGCGTCCCCTTGCTTCCTGTATACTTTGCTGCCGGTGGACAGGAACTCATCCACACAGCTAATTGGAAACGTCCAGTATGGAGCATCGTTATGTAAACTGTGTTTATTATTAATAAAAAAAACAGTACCTTCTAATATATATATATATATATATATATATATATATATATATATATATATATATAAATATAAAAGAGGCGGTTCACCGTAAAATTATGTTTTAATGAATATTTCTGATTATTTTAATTGGTCATTTTTAGTTGTTCATGCAGGCTGAACATTAAAATAGTCTCCTACACCTACATTACTCCTGCATTAGCTTCTGATAGAATAGTTGGTGAAACTCTAGGATCTGAGCGTTGCTCTTGTTAACCATGAAGGCCAGATGTTTAAATATGAGGAATTAAGACTCCAAATCCTAACGTGAAACTGGTGCACTACTGTTTTTCTCTATACCCAGGGTACGACTTACAAGACATTCAGATAGCTGTTATTTGTTTTAAAGCTTTCTAATTAGAAACCTTAAATTCATCCATCCATCCTTTCATCAGTCCATTCTCTTCCACTTACACGGGGTCGGGTCGGGGGGGCAGCTGCCTAAACAGAGAGACCCAGACTTCCCTCTCCCGTCACTTGGCCCTGCTCCTCCGGAGGATCCCAAGGTGTTCCCTGGCCAGCCGTGAGACATAGTCCCTCCAACGTGTCCTGGGTCTTCCTTTAGGTTTACTCCCGGTTGGACGTGCCCAGAAAACCTCACCAGGGAGGCGTCCTGACCAGATCCCCTAGCCACCGCAACTGGCTCCTCTCGATGTGGAGGAGCAGCGGGTCTACTCCGAGCCCCTCCCCGATGACCGAGCTTCTCACCCTATCTCTAAGGGAGAGCCCAGACACCCTTCAGAGAAAACTCATTTCGGCCGCTTGTATCCGCGATCTCGTTCTTTCGGTCTCTACCCAAAGCTCGTGACCATAGGTGAGGGTAGGAACATAGATCGACCGGTAAATCGAGAGCTTCGCCTTCTGACTCAGCTCTCTCTTCACCACGACAGACCGGTACAACGCCCGCATCACTGCAGACGCAGCACCAATCCATCTATCGATCTCACGCTCCAGCTTTCCCTCACTCGTGAACAAGACCCCGAGATCTCCTCCACTTGGGGCAGGACCTCATCCCTGACCTGGAGAAGGAATTTTATCCTTTTCTGACTAAAAATAATCCCTGAATTGAAACAGGAAAATCTGAACAACACACCTGCATCTAAAGTCATCCACATTCTGCTGAAAGGGCCAAAAGCACAAAAGCTCTTCCCACATATTCTGCCCCGTTATTTAACTAAAACCCAAATGTTTGTGTTTGATTTTTAAACATATATGATGCTCAAAACATATCTCAAATATAATATATAAATATGTAGAAGTGCATGTGGACAACTATGATAAGTTAATTTAAAAATGCTTAAGTCAAATTCCAACACTGCGGTGTTCAACCACTCTGAAGTCACAGGCTGTCCTGCAGCGTGCCACAGGATCGCGCTGTTAGCGGAGTGTAAAGAAGGCCAGCATGTATAGAGTCCACATCCGTCACCAGGGAGCTTAAAAAGTCATTATTACTTTGACACGTCAACTAAGATTAGCATTAGGCAGCACAGTCTGGAGGTCGGGAGCAGACAGTGCATCTCCAATAAGACATCATTTATTTATTGATTTAAAGATAAAGTTATTAAATATCTGTAGGAACAAATGTATTTTAGATGTTTGTATGGTTGAGTACTAAAGGTTCAATGTTTAAATGTGAAACAGAGATACGAGTTTGATGAGTCAGGAGAAAACGCACATCTGAGACACATAGGACTCTCATAAACAGTAAAGCTAAAGGGGTGATCCATAGATATTTCCATCCATGCAGATGTGTCACACAGGCAAGCTAAGGTCACTTAGAGGTCATGGCATTCAATCAGCAATGAAAAGGCTTTTTTATATGTGCATATAATGGAAACAATCACCGTTGGCCAAAGTTTCCAAGACAGAATAAGGAACAAATCACTGCAAAGCACAAAATACCAGGAGACAAGAAAAAAAGGTAAAATGTCAACCAACAAACCAAAACGTGTGTGTGTGTGTGTGTGTGTGTGTGTGTGTGTGTCCACGCTGTCTTCTCAAAGCCCAGAAGACGGCTGCTCACACTGATCCAGGTTCTGTTGGAGGTTTCTTCCTGTTTAAGACATGTTTTCCTCTCCACTGTCGCCATGCTTGCTCAGTATGAAGCCTGCTGTAAAGTTTCTGACACAAGTCAGTGACTTGATGCGATCTGCTGGATTTCCTGAAGCCCGGACCTCACTGTGTGTTATTCGGCTATCGCACAGGCCTGTTAACGTCACCCTGTGAGAGCTGTAGCGATGTGGCACGTGGTACGGTCCAAGATGTTAGTGAGCCAAACTGCACCACGTCTCGCTCTGGTAGGACGCGCTAAAGTCACAAGTCCACCCGTCGAAAAGCTCGCGTCACTAACAGCCGACAGATAACCAAAGAATAGTGCTGAAAAGAGAAAAAAGGGCTGTCGTTAACGCTTCTCTCCAACAGGTCCACATGTTCCTGAGTGCAGCTTCCCTTGTTGCTGATGTTTCTAATTTTGCTCTCATCACTAATTGTTCGCATCACTCCCCGGGTGTTTTTTCATTGGTCGGTTGCAGACGGGGTTTCGAGCAGTGCTTGAAGACTGTGGGAGGCTGACTTTGATTGTGAGCGTGCTCAATAAGCGGTCGCTGAGCTGAACTGGACGGCCACAGACTTTCAAATAATCCTCACATTCACCGTTTTCTATCTCGATTCTGTTCACGACGAGGGATTTGTCCAGGATGAGTGGAAAGTGCACAGTGTGGTCCGGCTTTCATAGTGAACTGAACTCAACTGGAATGTTTACTTGGATATTTGTTTTGAGACGACTCGTGAATCTGTAAATAAACTGAACTGAACTGAACTGAATCTGCACCCCATCAGACCTTAGCAGCCAAATTAAACTCACAGGTCCAAACTATCAGTACATTTTTACACGTTTCTCTGAACTCTGGACTCACCGGAGCTCCAGACCCAAGACTCGATAAGCGTCCTGTATGTACGCCCTGGCGGGCTGTGTCGAGGGACAATGGTTTCCCAAATTTTGGCCAAGCTTACGTGACTATTTTGACCTCCGAGCCTTGAGAGGGTTTGAAGCAGAGCTGCCTGGAAGTTCGAACACCGATCTACAGGTGGTGTTAGAGTTCGGGGAAACGCCTCATTTTTCTGTACAGTCTCACTAAATTGAGTGTATTTAATCTCTCGCGTCCTCGTCCTCCCTCAGTGCATCTTTCAGATCAAATCGTAGATGTGGTAAAAGAATTATTTCTTGCATTACCTCATGGAGTCACACTTCAGCTCACAGGCCCTACTTAGCTCCCACTTCCAGTGAAACCAATGTTCGAGAAGCTTATTTCAAATAATAAAAGTTGTCTCAGTAAATCGAGTACGTTTGGGGACTTAGCACTTCCTTCAGCGCCTGTTTCACTGTTTTTGTGATTAGTGGCCTAGTTTTTAAACACATAGAACAAATGGTTTTATCACCATTTAACTGAAAATGTGTTCTTATTTTAAAACTAATTTGCTTACCGCCCAACAGCCTCTGAACAATGCAGACTTTATCATTCCAGTGGAAATTGAAGGAACGCTGCACCAGGTGAGCAATGCATGCATTTTAAACTATAGATAGCAGGTTTACTGCTGGACTCTTCATGCTCGCTCACATATTCACAGCTAGCTTGATCAGATCTATACATCATTTACAAGCGCTATAAACCCTCTAGCTTATATATTAAAACGATTTGAGTGAATTTGTTGTTCCATCAGCCTGACAGAGTTGTGCTCCTCTCTGTTGATGGCTCCAAGCAGCAGGTGCCTATTTCAGTGTCCTGACAAAATAAGAAGAGCCTGGCAGGCTTCTCAGAAATACTGCTCATCAATCTCGACCTGTATCTCATATTAGACCCAGCTCCATCAGCGCCCGCTGGCAGGCCTGCAGGATTCAAACGCTGACCGCAGTCGGTTGTGTTTGAGTTTCCAGAAGGTGGAAGAGCGTTGTTCCTCAGAAGGGCCTGGGTCTGCTTCAAGTAATCCAGGATGGGCTTGTAAAAGTGGGGAAAGCCTTTTCTGGAGGACTTGGTTCAGAAACAAGGCTGCAGACATCTCCACATTAGCCGGAATCTCTTTTCCTCCTGACTGAGTTCACGCTGTTGATCTTGTTTTCTCTTGCAGGTGTACGTCCTAAAGAGACCCCATGTTGATGAATTCCTAAAGAGAATGGGGGAACTATTTGAGTGTGTTTTGTTCACTGCGAGCTTATCCAAGGTTAGTTTTTGGTTGCTTTTACTTTAAAGTTTTTCTGCAAACCATGTGCGATTATGTTTTTTATGCATCAAATTCAGAACCCATAAAACGATTGTGCATGGGATAGAACACCTGCATACTGATACTACCTGTGTTTTTCACACAAAGTGTTGACATGTTGGTGGTGGTCAGAGGGGCCGACGGCGCAAACGGCAGCCTGTCAGACCGCCCCAGGGCGGCTGTGGCTACAAAGTAGCTTACCATCACTGACAGTGTGTGAATGTGAGCGTGCATGAAAGCATCATTGAGTGTCCTAAAAAGCGCCATATAAGTTCAATGTATTATTATTATTATTATCCACCTTATCTTAGCACATGTTTTCTATAAGAACATCCATCCATTGTCTGAACCCGCTTGTCCATGCAGGGTCGCGGGGGGCTGGTGCCCATCTCCAGCAGTCAGTGGGCAATCAGGCGGGGTACACCCTGGACAGAGAGCCAGTCCATCGCAGGGCAACACAGAGACACACAGGACAAACAACCATGCACACACACACACACACACACCTAAGGACAATTTAGACCAGTCAACCTAACAGTCATGTTTTTGGACTGTGGGAGGAAGCCGGAGAACCCGGAGAGAGCCCACACATGCACAGGGAGAACATGCTAACTCCATGCAGAAAGATCCCAGGCCGGGAAGCGAACCCAGGACCTTCTTGCTGCAGGGCAACCACTCTAACCACTGCGCCACTGTGCAGCCTCTATAAGAACCGTTTTTCTGATTAGTATTTTTTCCAGCTTCAGAAATGAAACCTACGATTGTCCCTCACGTCCTAAACCGCAGAACGGACTTCAATGTTCCAAGTTACAGTTTCATAGAAATTTACTTTTCCATTATTTTAAGGAAATCAAAATTAGCACAGAAAATATGTCTGACGGTGCATTTTCTCTTCATATTATTCTTTTTTTTTTACATTTAAAGATCTGAAAAAAAAAGTGGGAGCTGCTTAGACTACAGTTAAACTTTCTAATTAATTTGGTTCCTGTTGCTTCTTTTTCTTGTTTGTATCTTATATCTAAGCATGAAAACAGCACATTTTGCTTTAGATAAATGTGTTTCTCACCGAGTGGGAGTAACTCGGCCATTGGATCCTGTGTGCTGGAGCAGGGGAACATCTAAAATGTTCAGAAACATCACGGTGTAGGATTAGACACCAGTGATCTGGTTGGTATTGTGTTTTTACCAGTTTTACTTCCTGTCCCTGCAGTATGCCGACCCTGTGTCGGACCTGTTGGATAAATGTGGGGCTTTCCAGAGCCGACTGTTCAGGGAAGCATGTGTCTTCCACAAAGGGAACTACGTCAAAGACCTGAGCCGTTTGGGAAGAGACCTCAACAAGGTTATAATCATCGACAACTCTCCAGCCTCCTACGTCTTCCATCCAGACAACGCGGTACGTTGTTTATGTTTTCTACTATCACTGATGTTAGTACAACGAGACATTCTGGATGTAAACAGCCCCCTGTTTTGAACCTGCAGGTTCCCGTAGTTTCCTGGTTTGATGACACATCGGACACCGAGCTCCTTGATCTTATCCCCTTCTTCGAGAGACTCAGCAAAGTGGACGACATCCGTGATGTTCTCAAAGAGCAGAAGACTTTAAATTCACAGGATGTTTGAGTTAAAAATCACCAGCGACTGTTGTCACGGGGCCATGGAGGCTGGTGAGCTGAAGGCTCCGTAGCGCTTCCCACTACAAGGACCATGCTTTAAAACAAGACGCTCATAATCTTACATCATGTTGGATAAATTCATCCGTTACTTTTGTAAGCGAGACAGAGACTGAAGAGACTCCACAGCTTCTGCAGACACGTGTAGCGGTGCAGCGAGTGTGTTGTTGTTGTTATGTGACAGCTCTGACCTTTGTAAGTGTGCTGCGCAGTTAGATTGTGCGAACAGTTGCTCTGCCATCCACACATACCCCGTCTACAAATGAACCACCATTAGTCTGGTGAGTGTTCCTAAAGCATTTGTGTTGTAGAGCTGTTAACACTTCCACGCAGAAAATCACACATCATCAGGGGCGTCTCTTTAATCCTGCTAACTCCCAAAAATCTGCAAAAGATGCATTTTAAATATACTGGAAAGAATTGTTCCGCAGAGTAGCTTGAGAGACTCCTCCCGTCGTGTAGTTAATGCACACATGCATTATTCCCTCTGTGTGTGAGGTCATCATTTGTTGATGCATATGGTAAACGCACAGAGCAAGGATAGATTTACAAAAATAAATGCTAAATCTCCACATTCAGTGTCTTACCCTGGCTTTCTACTGGAAACGTGAGCAGGGTGCGATGTTAAAGAGGCATTTTACCCACAAGCTCCCCTCCCACTGGGAGTGTTTCAAATGTGAGAGAGTCCCATGCAGCTGGTCCCGAAGGGTCATGAAATGACCAAAAAATAGCAAGACCACACGTGATTCTGGCAGTTCATGCAATAAAAAGCAAGCAGAAAGATGGCAGCATGTATCCAAAACGTTTAGTGGTTTTGTTAACCTTGGAGGTTTCACAGGTAAGGACATGTGTTTGTTACCTGTTAAGTAACTGGAAATCTGCATGCGACTTTTATTTTGAAAGTTTCCATATGGGTTACACTGCTCTCATGTTTGACTTCCTGTCTGCCCTGATCTGATCTGCTGAGCTTGATGCTTTCTGGAAGCGTAGCGCTTAAAAAAAAGACTAGAAGCATAAGCAAAGTGTCCCAACTCTGCTTCCAGAACAACGGTGGAAACACGCCGATGCGCTGTAACCGTAAAGCCTAATTTATGCTTCAGCTGCGTCGGTACGGAGACAAGCAACGCCATTAATCCGTCTTAATCCGTCATTGCGTGGGCTCTCCAGCAAGCAGGCCCGCAAGGATAGACGGAGTTGAGCCCACTTTTCTAAACATCTGTTGAATGAGACTGAGAACGCAAGCCTGTGATTGGTCAGGACACCGCTTCCTTAAAATTTGTCAACAGCACAGTCATTTCCCCCTCAAAGATAATAAAGAGATCTGAAGATACAGAGCAGCTTGAACAACGCCTGGCAGAAAAACCCATGACTGAAGGAGTAATGAGATATGCAGCAAGTGTTTTATTCGTGCCTGGAAATGACAGGAAACGCGGGTTTAAAGGTGGCGAGCGCATCAAGAAGTGAAGGAGAATGAGGGACAAGTGTGTCTGTTAAAAGTCTCTGAAATACAAAAAACACAATCTTGGATCGGATACGTGACTGTTATGGTGGCAGGATGTCCCAGGAAAGCATTGCACCCTCTGGTGTCCTGGAGGGGAATTGCTTTCCAATACCCCCCCCCCCCCCCCCCCCCCCCCCCCCAGGTGATGGAGAAGTCTGATGGTAAAAAGGGTCTGCCAAACCGTGCGCGTCTCTCCCTCACAAAGCTGATGAAGTACAAATCAGGCCTAAATAACTGCTGCAAACCATGTTTTACAGACATTATGCAATGTGCATCATAAGGCTGGGTAAGTTTAGCTCCTTTTTCCTACAAGAAACTCTTTCATGTGGACTTGAAGTGAGTGAAAAGGAATGCACTTGGAACGGGACGAGTCATCGATTTCTTACATGGTTGTTTGTACGGAATTCTTTGGCCATTCACAAACAAAATACAGCATGTTTGGTCCCTCCGGTGGTTTTGGCTAGCCAAGAATGTTGCCGAAAGTGATGCTGGTGTAAATGTTTAAAAAATAACTTGCAACAACTACCATGAAATGTGGGAGACATGTGAAGACTAGCCGTTAGCTCATCAATCAGCTAAATAATGATATAATAAATCTGCAGTGTGAGAAACAACGTAAACCCGTTAAAGTTCAGGAATTATTGTAATTATAAAGTTTTAAGTTTAAAGAAATCATTTTGATCTTTTCTCAGATCTACCTTTTGTTTTTGATGCTTTTTTTGTTTATAGTTGCAGCTCCGCTTCCTAGTTTGGTTTTAATGCGCACAAGGACTCCTCCTTTTGGCAAAGCTCTGTATATTAATTCTCTACGGGTACATGTGATCCTCGAGTGTGGATATTTGAGTGGATTTGGATGTGATTGTGATACTAAGAGCGTTTGTAATTTATTTTAGTTTGAAGGAAAAAAAACCTACATGTGAAAAAGCATTAAGTGTTTTGAAAACTGAATTAACTTTTTTTTCAAGACAAATTGTGATTTGAGAAAAGAAAAAAAGGTAAACTAACAACTCACAAAAGTCAAAAAAAGAACATTTCTTGAGAATAAATAAAGCATGATTTATTGAAGTGGGACATTTTGTCTCCACGGCGCTCGAGCTGATCAGAAATCTTACAACACAACTGGAAACATGAAAAAATGGAAAACATTTGCATTTCCATGCACATCAAGCCCAATAAAGGATTTAATGAAGTACTTAATTAAAATCAAGCAACCTTTGATTAATTATCAAGGTGATCAAGTATTTTTAACCTATCGCTGAACTAAACTCAGTTTTGGCCCAACGTATTTACATTACAAGCCCCATGCTGACAGATAGAAACATGTCAGAAACATCACAGATTCTTTACAAGACGATAAAAACACACATTAACTGTTGGAGTTGGATTTTCTTTGCTTCAATGACCAATAGTTTAATGATTCATTCAAACACAACAATGTAAGCCAAGGTTTACTAGACTACATTTATTTAAAAAAGGTCCAATGCAGCCCCCCCCCCCCCAAAAAAAAAACTTTTACCAGAAAAAAAATTTAAAATAGCAGAAAGCCTGAAAAACATCATATTAGTGACTCAAATGGCAAATTTAGCCATATTGTTATTCTACATGTAGATTATGTTGACTTAAATGGACATTTTTATTTATTTACTGATACTATTCATGCTAAGTCATGCTTACAGTAAAATCACACCAACGGGCTGTCGTTCACACTGAAACAGCCCCGTTTAAGCCACATCTATAGACACGGTTTAAAGTAAATGAGCATAAGAACAATACTAACAGTCGACCAGGTGGTGGCGCTACATGGATGCATCTCAGTGATCACCTGCGACAGGAAGAAAAGTTAGAGAAGGTTTAAGAAATGTAAGTGTATTTTCGTAAAAACACATTTGCAGTGAGCTCTGGTATAAATGAATGCCGTGTGAGTCGATCTGTGGGGGGGGGAGCCCTGGCGCTCCTGTTTTAGGAACTAGAAGTGAGCCAGTGGAGTGGTGAGCAGAATTTAGCAGGATTTTGGGACTTACTTCCTGATATTCACACATCCCTCCTCTAATTGGCTAACAGCAACACGACTACACCACTGACTCTGCTCACTCTGTGGAGCCTGGGGGACCACTTTGTAAAGCTGCTGATGCTAACGGTTAGCTTCTACTAGCCCAGACTGGTCCGTATGTATTGTAAACGAGGTAGGATGGAAGTTGTTTTTGTTTTTAATAAAATGAATCCAAACGAATCAAATGTTCTGTTAAATAAATGAAATTTGTGCAACCAGAGCATTTTACTTTTGTATAACTTGTGTCACGACTTCATCAGAGAAATAAAGAGCAGCTCAAAGCGTTGCTGCGTGACATCTCCAGATTACAAGCCCCTGCAATGACGAGCGGTTCACTATCTGGGTCAGATGATCGAAATAAACCCCTGTTCAGTTCAAAGCCAACATCATAAATCTAAAGATAGGTCACTATCCTGCACAGAGGGTTCTGGGGTTGTTGCCTAACCTGACTCATGGAGCAGAACTATAAACACCATATGATATTTACAGAATGTAGCTCCCCTGGTGTGTTAACCATTGAATGGATTATTGGTCTATGTGCCACATGTGCAGCGCCGAGCCAGAGGACATTCTTCAGCCTATTATCGCTGCTTGTTTCCTGATTTCTTGGACACATTTGTTTAATTTCTGCTTGTTTTTATGTCCAGTTCTAGTTAATGCACTTTTGAAATTGGTACAACTCCTAAAACTTGATTCCAGTCAAGAGGCAAACTCAGGACTTTGCTAATATCGCCACCTAGTGGTTACAATTGTCCTTACAACAGAAACCTGAATCTTTCCAACTTTAAATTCACAGCAAATTATTTAATAAAGGTTTTACTGAGTGTAAAAAATAAAAGGTGAACATAGTTATATCTTACTTAATTTTGGGGACGTCTGTTTTAAAGCTGATCGCTATTCAAGTTTAATAACAGAACATTTTTGGATAATTAAAAAAATAATGAAATAAAATGTCATCTCACTGGTTACTCGAAGCTGAGCTCTACTCGTTGCTTTCCCAGACGTGAACGCCACCTCGCCGCTCATGTTCGGGCTGGTTTGCCGCAGGGTCAGCCTGTGGACCGTACCCGTCTTCTCCAGTCGGACCCGGGGACCTGACTGCAGGGGCTCCCCGTTCAGACTCCACACCGGGGATCTCAGGACGAGGTCTGAGACCTCACATTCGAAGCAGGCGTCATCAGGGGCAACGACTTCCACATCTCTGAGCTCTCGCAACATCAAAACCGACTGGGCTGGGGAAGCACAGAGAAAAGTACAAGTCAACCTGTGCAACCTGGCCATCTTTATTGGTTTTGTGTCACACAGTGTTTCTCTTGGAATCTGTGCATCTCTTTGGTTAAAAAGATGAAGCAACAGGTTGGCAGAGGAAAGCAAACGCCATTAGAACACATTTGAACATCCTCGTTTGCTAACATGAAGTTGATGAAATAAAACTACATGCTGCTAAAATCCTAAACATTCTTACCCTCCACTGTGAGTTTTGCAGAGCATGTGTACTCTCCAACCTGCACACTGTATGTGCCCTCGTCCTCCAGCGCCACCTGCTGAATGATCAGTTTACGGTAACAGCCCTCACTGCTGATCTCAAAGCGTTCAGAGGGCAGGATGACATTGCAGCCTTTGTACCAGCGGATGCTACACCTGGGATTAGACACCGTGCAGTCCAGGATGACGCGGCTCCTCTCAAGGGCTGCCTTATCCTGCAGAGGCTTCACTATGTTCATAGGAAGTTCTGAAAGAACATTTGAGGGTGTGAGTCAGGTGGTGCTGAAATAGGAGCTTCACCAGGATGACGATGTGCAGATTTGTCCAGAATAAATAGAAACTGCTTTAAAGAAACATTCAGTCTAAAGGAGAACTAACACAGTTAAGATCATGTTTGTATAATTCTTGTCCAATCTCTATAAATGAGTTATTTTTGATACCTTCCACATCCAAATAAGCAGCAGACTCAACATTTCTGGCCACAAACTTGACCTCTCCGGAGTCCTCTGCATGCACGTTGCACATGAGAAGAAAATGTTTTTTGCCTGAAATAAGAAAAGGAAAAATTCTGAAATAGGGAACTGTATCAGTCAATAATTTTGTACACAACAATTTAATAAAAAATGTGGTTAACTTAATTGAAAAATTACAAAAAAACATAACAGAAACATAAAAATCTGACAAATGTATGTCCATCCATCCATTTTCTTCCGCTTCTCTGAAGTCGGGTCACAGAGGCAGCAACCTAATGGGCCATTCCCATCAGTACCGGGTCGGCCCGGGCCGGGTAGCCCCAGTCGGCCCCAGCCTGGCCCGGTTGATTCCACACAACCTTGCCTTAAGCCCATGTGGGCTGATTCTACCCACCAATCAGAGGCTTGCTCTAATGGAAGGTGTGAATTTGCTGTCAGCAGTGGGTGTGTTGGCCCTGGTCGGCCTGAAGCAGACCCCCTCGAGAAGAGGGCTGAGAATGAGCCTTGGTTGGCCCGGAAAAGTACCAGGCCACCCAGATATGTAAACAACCTACGCTACCCGGCCCGGGCCGACCCGGTACAGATGGGAATGGCCCATAAGTCAAGAGGATGAGACTTCCCTCTCCCCAGCCACTTGGGCCAGCTCTTCCCATCCTAAAGCGTTCCCTGGCCAGGTGAGAGTCCCTCCAACGTGTCCTGGGTCTCGCTTTAGGTCTCCTCCCGGTTGTACATGCCCGGAAAACTTCACCAGGGCATCCAGGAGGCATCCTGGCCAGATGCCCGAGCCACCTCAACTGGCTCCTCTCGATGTGGAGGAGCAGCGAATCTACTCTGAGCCCCTCCCGGATGACTAAGCTTCTCACCCTATCTCTAAGGGAGAGCCCAGCCACCCTGCAGAGAAAACTCATTTCAGCCGCTTGTATCCGTGATCTCGTTCTTTCGGTCACTACCCAAAGCTCATGACCATAGGTGAGGGTAGGAACGTAGATCCACCGGTAAATCGAGATCTTCGCCTTCTGACTCAGCTCTCTCTTCACCACGACAGACCGGTACAACGCCCGCATCACTGCAGACGCAGCACCAATCCATCTATCGATCTCACGCTCCAGTTTTCCCTCACTCGTGAACACGACCCCGAGATCTCCTCCACTTGGGGCAGGATCTCATCTCTGACCTGGAGAAGGTATTCTACCCTTTACCGAATCGGAAGTGTAAGTCTAAATGAAAAGTAACACATTTATTATTATTATTATTATTATTATTATTAAGTACCTTATTTCCAAAAATTAACAAAAAAATGCTAATAGGGTACATTTAGTTTCTCGGCGTGGACATCAGTCATCATTATTTATTTGGAAAATAATTTGACAAATATAAATACTCAGGATTTTTTAAAACTTGCCTTCCTGGCGGATCTTGACAGTGCTGGTGGGTTGTATCCGCTGCCCGTTTTTGTACCATTCCCCTGGAATGTCCTCTACAGAGACCTCACAGACAAAAACAGCGTTCTGATCTTCCTGGATGTCCAGGTCTTCGAGTCCCTGAAGGACCAGCAGTTCACGTTCTACACAGAAACATCAATAAATACGATTAACCCGTTTCTGAGATCTATCAGGATTTGGAGAACAGCGATTTCTTCACTTCTGTAAAAAAAGAAAATGTTGGTGCAGGTGCTAATTTGTTTTATTGTAGTACTTCCTGATAGACACTGGGTGGCAGTGTTGCATGCATCCACAGTTTTCCTAAAGGATATCATGTTTTATTAAAGGTTTGCAGCAACTTTAAAAAATCCCATTGCTTTTTAACTTTTGATTGGAAGTTAGAGTCATTTGTCCTTGTAAGAAAAAGCACTGGGGTGATTTTGCATGTTTTGTTTTTAGCCTCTACTGTTGTAATCTGCTGGGAATCTGTGACCACTCGGAGATTTGACCTTTGACTCTTTTCATTTCATCTCATATTTTCCACCTTTAACTGAAACTCACCATAAACCTCCACCGTGCAGGTCGTGGAGGCATCTCCTGCATCACAGGTGTACGTGCCTGAGTCGGTGACGCGGCATTTCATTATCTGAAGGAATCGTTTCCTCCCCATCGCATGAATACGCAAGTCTCTGCTTGGTTTCAGCTCAAATCCATCCTAAGAAAAAAGAAAAATGTTATTTAAAAACAGTGTATTTTGTGTTCTTCTGAAAAGTTGTAGTTTTGTATTTGAAAGACTCGCCTTCATCCATCTCACATCCACGTTGTGCCTCGACAGTTCACACTCTAGGGAGATTATTGACACATCGGGAACTTTCTGGCTTTCCAATTTTCGAAAAATAGTCACCGGAGGTTCTGTTGAAGAAAGGAAAAAGCACCTCTAACATTCCAGCAGCTCATATGCTGCAGACTAAAGCGATGACATTTTTATCCAAACGTCATCCTCTGCACGTCATTCCTGGCTCAAAGAGATGATGCATACTGAGTGACACGGCGTGGTGAGGATTATTCCATAAGATGAGGTTAAAACTAGCACCGGACTGAGTCTAGCCACTGCTTTTCACTCTAGGCTATTTCGTGTCTGTAACGTGAGCCTGGAGCTGTCACCCTATTCTATTATCATGCCAGCAGTGACAAGACTGAGAGCACCACTTTAGCTACCAGTCTGGGGTCAAGGCAAAACTATTATAGTGAGATTTTCATGATACTGGAGCTACCGTAGGGCAGGACTTTGGGTTTGTCTTTGTAATAGGATCATTCGACATCTGAATTGCCTACCTTTAACAACAAGCCTTGCAGATGTTTTCAGGTTCTCCACACTGAAAACAAAGGTCCCAGTGTCTTCCACGGATAAGTTAGAGATGGTGAGGCTGTGAACTTGTCCTTTGGCGCTCATACGGAAGTGATTCGTCGGCTTAAGCTGGATTCCATTTCTGTTCCAGGTGCCAGGAACGTTGGGATGGGAGAGCTCCACTTCAAAGGAGGCAGTTTCTCTCTCTGTGGTTTTAATGTCACTAAGCCCTTTCCTGATGGTGATTCTTCGAGCTGCAGCGGGAGCAACAAAGTGCATGGAAAAAGAGCCACATTTGCCAGAAAAGATCCACCGTAATGCCAAACAGATATGGAGCCCTTCTTTCACACAACAGGCTTGGAGTTTGTTCCGTACCCGTAGTTAAACAACACACGCTGGCAAACACCGACAAGCCATGTTTAGCCGTTTGAGCGCTGGGCTTTACTCAAAAACCAGCTTCGAAACTGCCAAGATTTTTCACTTATTCTAACGTAGACGAGCATTCCAGATGGAAAAAACAAAGGATTGTTTATTTTGGAGACTCGATGACAACAACCTTAGTTTTGAAGGCCATGGTGTAAATTTAAATGCAACGAGAGGAGACCCAAATTCATAGGAGGTGCCAACAGCAGCCTAAGGTCCCAGCTTTCCCCTTCCCACCCACACGGGTGTTGAAAGAGCAGCCTTTAATCCACCCACTCGCATGTGGATCACAGGACTACCAAACATAAACACAGAAAACAGAAAAACACGGATCTGAGATGGTCTGGCAAGCGTTCTGTCTTTTGAGATCTACAAGTTGTGTTAATTTGCACATTTTACTTTGCTTCAAAAACTAATTTGACTTCTCACTAATGCAAAAACATCCATAAGTTGGTTTAGGAACGTCGCCTGTTGGTTAAGATCATTTTCCAGACCAAGTGCCGCCTTCATCCCCTGTAACTCATAACGCCCCCACTCAGTTTATCTGGATTTGCCTTCGCAAGAAGCGGCACTGGTGGGAGGAGTTGTTGGTAACGGTGGTGAACAAACAACAACGAGGCATGGTGAGAAGACTTGAGTACTCACGTTCCACTGAGAGCTGGGCCTGCGTCCGGTCATGGAGGGTCTCGCAGCTGTAGGTACCCCGGTCAGACGTGACCAGCTTGTGGATGGTGAGACTGTGCTTTTGACCCTTGTGCTTCAGGGTGTACTTGGCACCCGGGTGGATCAGCACCCCCTGTCTCATCCACTGCACCTCCTCTGCCTCTCGACTCACCTCCACCTCAAGAGTTGCCTCGCTGTACTCTTCAGCTACAACTGGTACCATTTTCTTGGTGAACAGCACCTGTTGCTCTAGAATAGGAACGTTGAAGATTACAATTATCCTATATGCATGAGTGTTTTAGTTGTTTTTATAATCAGGCAACTCAAAGTGAATGCTAAATGACAGCGAATTTATGATGGGTCGAGATTAAACTCGAAAAGGCAAGAAAAAAGTTAAAAGCTACAAAGAAAGTAATGAGATTAAAATGTTTGCCCTAAGAGGAGTTCTGCTTGACTAGAAATCTAGACAGAACATAGCAGAAGCATAAGGATTCAGCTCTGCAGGTAGGCTTGGCCATGCTCCATAGGAGCACTCTCTGCAGCTTCACTGGCTGCCAGTCAACTTCAGGGTTCGTTTCAAGATCCTGGTTCTGGGGCCTCATTTATCAAGCTTGCTTACGCACAAAACCTTGTTGGAAAACTGCGTAAGCAACTTTCCATGAAAACTTTGGGATTTATGAAAGAAAGCTTAGCGGAAAAATGTTTGCAACTTAAAGTTCACTAGGGACCTGGCTTACACACATGCTGGACATGGAGAGCACCTGCAGTGCTGCTGCTGAGAAGGATAAAGTTATGAAATCCTGCAGCATCATCACTTGTACCGCTTCGTTTTCACACAGAACAAGACAACCCACACGCACACACGTGTGCACACTCAAACACACACGCGTGTGCGCGCGCATACACACACACACAGCCTGAAGCGCAGAATGCAGATTGCAGAATATCAGCAGGGGGACAGATTGAGACAGAACATCATGCGTCTGTGACAGTGTGTGTCCTGTCACTGTGACCCGATTGATGATGCGCCCTGGCTACTTGTACAGGGGAGATCTCTGCTTGGGTGACTGGTTAGCGTGCGTGACTTTAACCTGGGAGTCTTGGGATTGAATCCCGATTGGACCATTTTTTTATATCCGCCACAGATCTCTCTGAAGAATTCACAACATTGACGGCTTCAGCAACGCTGTGCCACTCCGTGGATTTTCTCTTATTTGTTTTGCAAAAGCACTTCCTTTCATTTTTCCACCTCACCCACAGGTACCTCAACTTGTGCTTCTGTGAAATAGCGCTTCCTTGATCTGCCTTGATCTACGGTCGCCATGTCATTGGAGGAGCGCTGCAACAGCCGTCTTATGTATATGCATGAGATCCACAAGGCACTTTGCATTGACTATTCATGGCAGTAAGTGGGCGTGGTGAGGGTGGCGTGTGACTAAAAAGCAGCTGAGAACCTTTCTAGATAGTTTCTGATAAATGAAGCAGAAATTGCGTGCAGCTGTGCGTCCTCCATGATTGATAGATCACAAACCTACTTGCCGTAAGTAATTTTTTTTTGCTCAGCTCAAGTACGGTTCTAGTAAGGATTCTACACAACGTTTGATAAATGAGACCCTAGGTCGATAGGGCCTTACATGGACAAGCACCATCTTACATTGGTGATCTTCTTAGTCCCTACACCTCCAGCAGGTCCCTGAGGTCCAGTGATCAAAGCCTACTGGTTGTGCAGCACCAGGCTAAAGGTCAAAGGTGACAGATCATCTGCTGCTGTGGCCCCCAGACTCTGGACCTCTCCCCCCCTGAGCCTGAGATCAGTGGACTCAGTGGTCTCCTTTAAAAAGCAGCTGAAGACTCACTTGTTCAAGCAGGTTTTTGCGTGACCTTCATCACCACCCTCTCCTTGTTCCACATTTCGCCGAGATCCTCGGATTTCCCTCTTTCCTATTTATTTTCTCTCCTTTTCCTTACATTTTTTCTTTTCTCCTGTTAACCCTCCCACTGTGGCAGGGGTGAGGAGTGAGCACCACTCACCCCTGCCACATGGACCTCAAGGGATAAACCATCAATCCTGCTCAATGTTCAACTTTCCTCGCGGGGTCACCCATAAAGGCAGTGGGAGGGTTAAACATATTTTTTATATTTATAAATTATTTTTATATTTTACATTTCTTTAGCTCTTCTTCTGGGTACCTACCTCAGCTTGTCTACCACTGGCACGAGCAGTTTTGTGTTAAGCCAATCACTGCGCTCTATCGCTTTGGTGTGTGGGATGATGCGATGGGGCGGAACAACAAAAATGGTGGTGGCTCATTTTAAACTGCATCAGCTTTGGACGATTTAGGCTTAGGCTTTGATTTGAGTCAAGAGCAGACAGATACTTAAGCTACAATCGCAATTTTGGTAAACAAATTAACTTAAACTTTTTCTTCCCTCCTCTTAAAGTGGCAGTGTGTAGTTTTCTGATGAGAGGGGGCAGTACATACATACATTTCAGGGATTTTTACACCACATCACCATGACTGTCGCTAGTTTAAAAAAACATTACAGCAAATGTTACCTGTGGAGCAGAAAGCATTCAACCTCGGTGCGACTCCTCAGACTTTGAGGGTTCTTTAGTTAATAACATCAAGAGAATGCAATGCCGATGCTAGTATTCTGGCGCTGCAGTTTCTGGATCTTCTTGGGGTCCTGCACCTGCCGATGACGTCATCATACTTCTGCAACACCGCTCAGCTAAAATATATTGCATCTCCTTTTCAGTTAAGTTCCTTCCCATCGGTTTTGGAATGAGTCAGCAGTTTTATCATTATATTCATGTTTCTTGCCTGAATGTTTTTGAATGCGGTAACATAACTTCTATAAGTCGTACACCCTGCCATCATCTAGTGTGACATCATTGACAGGCACAGGACCCCAAGCTGGCCAAAAGGAAACATGGCGTCTAATATGGCGTCGCCCAAAGACGCTAGACCCGCGCCCTATGTAGTTTAGACCCGATTTTAATCATTTTATCATATAACTATTACAATGCAAGCGCAAATGCGTGCTGCAGCTTTTTTTCAGGTGTGTATTGTTTATTTTGACAGCGCATGCGCACCTGCGGACCACTTATGTACACACCTGGTTATATGGTACAAAGCCACCAATATTTCAATGACTATTTCCAGAGATTAAAGGTAAAAACTACACATAGTGGAATACATTCTAACATAGTTTAGTTATAAATATATAGTGGAGATAAAAAATAACATATCGAAGTGGTTCTCTTGCATTTGTCTAAAAACCTCCACCAATAGCACGTTTTGATCCGACAGCAACTATTGGACCATTTGATTGTTGGTCTCGCCGAATCACTGGACATCCCTGTGTCCTCCACTCATCACACACTCACATATTCAGCAACAGAACACCACTGGTGTGTGAGGTTCTCAGCTCAATAACATCAGAGAAGGAGAAACAGCCGGCTGTTACCACTTCAACTTTAAGACAAACTACCAGAATCCCAAAAAGAAAAACGCCATTTGAAGTCACAAACAACAAACGACTCTTCGGCCTGAAAAACTCTAATTTCCTCCAGTTTTGCAGGTTTTCAGTTCCAGCAGAAGCGTCTCAGGGAAGATACCTGAGGGGAGGGGTGAGCGTTCCATAACCGTGTTTGTGTTCAGAACCTAGCTTGTTTGCAGATTTGCTATAGCGGCTTTAAGTCATTTATTTTAAAAATGGACGAATTTGCATCTTCTTTGTATGGTGGACAGCCCCACTGACTGACATCCATAGCAGTGAGTGAGTCATGTCACTCGTTGTCAGGGGCGTAGCACCAAATTCTGGGCCCTGGGTACAAGTCTTCTAGGTGGGCCCCCATGCTCAATTACTTAATATCACTCTTACACATTTTTGTCATGCTATAAGACAAGTCAAGATAATAAATATGATCTTAGTTTAACCTCTATATTGAGCAAATACAAATGCCAGCATAATAAAAGTGAAATGCCCAGACTTCACATATAATTATTTTTATTTACCAACAATGTGTTCAAACAAAAATCCTGGAATTTATTTTCCAGTAAATGCCCACTGACGGGTCTTCATGTTAGCAAAATCACTTATGAGATCTTTAAAGTCCAATCCTTTGGCTAATTGGCTTTCAACAGAAAGAAGAGCTAGGCTGTTCAGTCTATACTGGGACATTGTTGATCTCAAATAATTTTTCACCAGTTTCAGTTTGCTAAAAGCCCGTTCACCCCCAGCAACAGTCACAGGTAGTGTGCAAAATATCCTCAGTCCAATACAAACTTCTCCAAAAATGCTCTGTAATTGCATCCTGTAGATGGCATTAAGCAGCTCAAGAGGAGACCGGATGTGTGGAAATGTGGCACCATATATTGTTCTCAGGTGTAGCATCTCATTCTCAAATTCAGCTGTGAGATCCTTGTAACATTTTCTCATCAGTGCCTGGCATGATATCTTCATCTGCTCTTCAGTCATGTCTGTCATGGTTCATGATGTTAAGCTTTGCTACTACTGATATATATTGATATATTAAATACATATGACATGAAATAAACCAGGTTCTCTCTGTGAATGTAATGTACTCTAAATTTTATAATCCCTGCATTATCAGCCAAATTATAAGATTGTCCGTTTTCAAGATCAAATATAAAGAAATTTAAAATAGGCTTAAAATATCTAACCAAGTCAATAACAATCCTCTAACACCAGTGTCATCATGCTATACGAAAAGCAGTGGCAGCTTCTCATTCCTGAGATTACCACGAATCCATCGATACCAAGTTTGTCCTGGTCCATGACTGGGAAGGAGCTGAAATATCCACACAGAGTGAAACTGTTTTTACTGCGAGGTCCGCAAATTAATTGGCGGCGGCCGCCCGCGATAATAATTCTGATTAATATATATATATATATATATATATATATATATATATATATATATGTATATATATATATATATATATATATATAGCTCCTCCTTGAACCGTCACCTTATCGTGGTGGAGGAGTTTGAGTGCCCTAATGATCCTAGGAGCTATGTTGTCTGGGGCACTTAGTGCCCCTGGTAGGGTCTCCCATGACAAATTGGTCTTAGGTGAAGGGTGAGACAAAGAACGGTTCGAAGGATCTTTCATGGCGGTTAAAACGAAGAGTCGGAGTACCCGGCCCGGAGGGTTACCGGGGTCCCACCCTGGAGCCAGGCCTGGGGTTGGGGCCCGTGAGCGAGCGCCTGGTGGCCGGGCTTTCGCCCATGGGGCCCGGCTGGGCCCAGCCCGAACCGGATACATGGGCTCGTCCAACTGTGGACCCATCACCCGCAGGAGGAACATGAAGGCTCCGGTGCAATGCGAATCGGGTGGCAGACCAAGGTGGGAGCCTTGGCGGTCCAATCCCCGGACAAGAAAACTAGTTTTTGGGACATGGAACGTCACCTTGCTGGCGGGGAAGGAGCCGGAGCTTGTGGCAGAGGTTGAGCGGTACCGGCTAGATATAGTCGGACTCACCTCGACACATTGCATTGGCTCTGGAACCCGAGACCTGGAGAGGGGTTGGACACTCTACTTTGCTGGAGTTGCTCCAGGTGAGAGGCGGAGGGCTGGGGTTGGCTTTTTGTTAGCCCCGAGACTCTCTGCCTGTGTGTTGGGGTTTACCCCGGGGGACAAGAGGGTAGCTTCCTTGCGCCTTCGGGTCGGGGAATGGGTCCTGACTGTTGCTTGTGCTTATGTGCCAAATATCAGTTCAGAGTACCCACCCTTTTTGGAGTCCCTGGGACGAGTGCTAGATAGTGCTCCATCAGGGGACTCCATTGTCCTGCTGGGGGACTTCAATGCTCACATGGGCAATGACAGCTTGACCTGGAGGGGTGTGATTGGGAGGAACGGCCCACCTAATCTGAACTCGAGCTGTGTTTTGTTATTGGACTTCTGTGCAAGCCGCAGTTTGGCCATAACGAACACCATGTTCGAACATAAGGATGCCCACCGGTACACTTGGTACCAGGGCAGCCTAGGTCACAGGTCGATGATAGATTTTGTAGTCGTATCATCTGACCTGCGGCCGTATGTTTTGGACACCCGAGTGAAGAGAGGGGCGGAGCTGTCAACTGATCACCACCTGGTGGTGAGTTGGATCAGATGGCAAGGGAACATGCCGCGTAGACCTGGCAGACCCAAACGCATAGTGAAGGTCTGCTGGGAACGCCTGGCAGAAGAACCTGTCAAGACGGTCTTCAACTCCCACCTCCGGCAGAGCTTTGACCACGTCCCGAGAGCAGTGGGGGACATTGAGTCCGAGTGGGCCTTGTTCCACTCTGCGATTGTCGAGGCGGCTGTTGCTAGCTGTGGTCGTAAGGTGGCCGGTGCCAGTCGTGGTGGCAACCCCCGTACCCGCTGGTGGACACCAGAGGTTCGGGGAGCCGTCAAGCTGAAGAAGGAGGCCTACAGGGCGTGGCAGGTCAGTGGGTCTCCGGAGGCAGCAGACAGGTACCGGATAGCCAAGCGGGGTGCAGCAGTGGCAGTTGCCGAGGCAAAATCTCGGGCGTGGGAGGAGTTTGGTGAGGCCATGGAGAAAGACTATCGATCGGCTCCAAAGAGGTTCTGGCAAACTGTCCGGCGCCTCAGGAGAGGAAGGCAGCAACTCGCTCACACTGTTTACAGTGGGGATGGGGAGCTGCTTACGTCAACTGAGGCTATAGTTGGACGGTGGAAGGAATACTTTGAGGAGCTCCTCAATCCCACCAATGCGCATTCCGAGGAGGAACCAGAGCTGGGAGGCCTGGGGATGGACTGTCCGATCTCGGGGGCAGAAGTTGCTGAGGTAGTCAAACAACTACACAGCGGCGGAGCCCCGGGGGCGGATGAGGTTCGTCCTGGGTATCTCAAGGCTATGGATGTTGTAGGGCTGTCATGGTTGACACGTCTCTACAACATTGCGTGGTCATCGGGGCAGTTCCTAGGGAGTGGCAGACCGGGGTGGTGGTCCCCATCTTTAAGAAGGGTGACCTGAGGGTGTGTTCCAACTATAGGGGGATCACACTCCTCAGCCTCCCTGGAAAGGTCTACGCCAAGGTACTGGAGAGGAGGGTCCGATCGATAGTTGAATCTCAGATAGAGGAGGAGCAATGTGGTTTTCGTCCTGGCCGTGGAACTGTGGACCAGCTCTATACCCTTGCAAGGGTGATGGAGGGGGCATGGGAGTTTGCCCAACCAATCCACATGTGCTTTGTGGATTTGGAGAAGGCTTATGACCGTGTCCCCAGGGGCACCCTGTGGGGGACGCTCCAGGAGTATGGGGTGGGTGGCTTTCTGTTAAGGGCCATTCAGTCCCTTTACCAGAGGAGCGTGAGTTTGGTCCGCATAGCCGGTAGTAAGTCGGACCTGTTCCCAGTGAGGGTTGGACTCCGCCAGGGCTGCCCTTTGTCACCGGTTCTGTTCATCACTTTTATGGACAGAATTTCTAGACGCAGCCGTGGTGTGGAGTGTGTCGAGTTTGGTGGCAGGAGAATCTCGTCTCTGCTTTTTGCGGATGATGTGGTCCTCCTAGCTTCATCCAGCTCTGACCTTCAGCTCTTGCTGGGTAGGTTCGCGCACGAATGTGAAGCGGCTGGGATGAGGATCAGCACCTCCAAATCTGAGACCATGGTTCTCGACCGGAAAAGGGTGGCTTGCCACCTCCGGGTCGGGGGAGAGGTCCTACCTCAAGTGGAGGAGTTTAAGTATCTCGGGGTCTTGTTCACGAGTGAGGGTAGGAGGGATCGGGAGATCGACAGGCGGATTGGTTCGGCGTCTGCAGTGATGCGGACGCTGAGCCGATCTGTCGTGGGGAAGAGGGAGCTGAGCCAGAAAGCCAGGCTCTCGATTTACCGGTCGATCTACGTCCCAATCCTCACCTATGGTCATGAGCTTTGGGTAATGACCGAAAGAACGAGATCGCGGATACAAGCGGCCGAAATGAGTTTCCTCCGTAGGGTGGCCGGGCTCAGCCTTAGACATAGGGTGAGGAGCTCGGACATTCGGGAGGGACTCGGAGTAGAACCGCTGCTCCTCCGGATCGAAAGGAGCCAGTTGAGGTGGTTTGGGCATCTGGTCAGGATGCCTCCTGGACGCCTCCCCGGGGAGGTGTTTCGGGCATGTCCTGCCGGCAGGAGGCCCCCGGGTCGACCCAGGACACGTTGGAGAGGTTACATCTCCAATCTGGTCCGGGAACGCCTTGGGGTCCTGCCGGAGGAGCTGGTGGACAAGGCCGGGGAGAGGACGGCCTGGAGCTCCCTAGTTGGGATGCTGCCCCCACGACCCGGACCCGGATAAGCGGAGGAAGACGACGACGACGATATATATATATATATATATATATATATATATATATATATATATATATTAATTAGTGTTTTCACTGATAACACTAATTAATTTATATTTGATCTTGATGGTGAAACTAAAGGCGTTTAACACTGAACACCTAACATGAATGCAGCTTCTGAAAGCTAGCTAATATCAGCTAAAACTGTGTTCTGCTGCTGCTGCTCATCGTCTTTCTACTTGCTTCTGTTCAATTAACTTTTCCTCCTTCTTTTCTTTTCTTTTCTTTTCTTTTCTTTTCTTTTCTTTTCTGGAAGCCAGATTTCCCTTTCTTGGGAAAAGACATGCCTGACTCTCCTGCCTCCAGCTCTGGCTGTCGGCATCTGCGATGTCTTATAGCTGTACATGCAGCAGTGCAGCCCTGGCCGCTGGTGTGGACTAAACCACTTCGCACATTTTTAAGGGGTGATAGATGCCTCAGAGATTATTCAGTTATTATTTTTAAGGCGAAATTCTGTTTCTTAACCTCTTCATCCAGGTAAAGGGAAGTTTATTAAGACATTAAGTAAGTTGGGGGGAAAAAACAACAACAATAAAACATTTTTATTCAAAGCTGTCTCAGGGCCCCTCCCTGCAGTGGGCCCTGGGTAAACGGTTCCCCCCCCCCCCCCCCCCCCCCAGTCCGACGCCCCTGCTTGTTGTCCAACATCATGTGGAGACTGTTTGAAAGACAATTATTTCACCCCATGACTGAGCTCTTTCTGTGGGTTGTGTACATTTATAGTCTGGCTTGTCAGCCTAGATTTTTACAGCAATGCCTACAAATATTCAACCAGGCAAATACTGTGTCAGGATTTATGGGGCATCGATGACTCACCTTGAACCTGGAGCTCTGCCTCTGATATCAACCCCTCCGCATCAGCTGTTACCCTGCCGCCATCCGAAACCAAGCAGTTGTTGATGCAGAGCATATGGCACAGCCCGTGGTTGGAAGTGACAGAGCGCTCTTTTAGACCAACTTGCTTGTCATTCAAGCGCCAAACCAACTTAACATCTGCTGGTGATACAACGCACTTAAAAACGGCATCTTCCCCTTCACAGACGGTGATATTACGGAGCTCCGCTATGAACTCGACAACACGGGGGGCTGAAAAACAGTTCAATTAGAGTTTTTGTGATCTAAAGCTCACGATGACATCATTTAAGAGGTCACTTTTATCACCAATCTTACTCTTGAGTTAGTTGTGTAAAAGTTATAGAGAATCACTATATTATATTTTAATAACCAAAGAGTGATGCTGCTTCTCAAAACAGCTGTTTCTTCAATTTGCATCACACAGATATTTTGGACAAATAAATAATTTCCTGATTGGTTTCACTCTTGGATGGCAACCACCAATTTTGGTTTTGGGTGTCAACTTCAGTCTAAACATGATCTTCAAGATTTAAAATAATAAAAAAAGGTTGTTCAGGAACAACTAAAGGGATACTTTGCAACTTTTTCATATTTTTAAATCATTTTCTTGAGCCAGTATGTGCTAAAATGACCCTTTATAGCACAGGTGTCAAACTCTGGTCCTCTGGGATCACTACATGTTTCAGTGTTTTCCTTGTTTGAACACACCTAATTTCAACCAGCAGGTGATTAACAGGCTTCTGGAGAGCTTGATGAGATGCTGCACAGGTGATTCAACTGTTTTGGAACAGGGAAACAACAAAAAGAGTATACTGGCCCTCGAGGACTGGAGTTTGACACCCTTGCCTTACAGGGTCAATGAAAGGCCACCCAACCTATATCGCCCCCTGTGGCCAGAATATTCCACTTGTAACTTCAGACTTGCCAGAGCTGACATGCCAGCGTTTCAGTCAGTTTCCAGGCGTCTCCTGCATGTTTTATATCATGAACACAGCTGATTTGTTCAATTTAGTGATGAATCACTCCTCTAGATACTAATGAAGGCTGGGGAGACATTTCAGCTGTTGGATTAAGATGTTAAAAAGACAAAAATACAGTGAGGAGATTTTGGTTTTGGTTCTACAAACGGACACTAGGGGTACTAAAAGCAAGCCAAAACAGCTTAGATCCCCTTTAATGGTGATTATTTATAACTTCTACACATCTGAAAATGGCCCCAAATCTCTTTAAATTAGAAAAATCAGACTGACTTACTTTCCACAGTGACAGTGGCTGAGGTCCTGTCATCTGTAGATTCACAGGCATAATCTCCAGCATCTTCATCTGTTAGTTGGTGGACGGTAAAGCTTCTCTCTCTGCCTTGTGCTCGTATTGTGCACCAATGACCTGGCATTATCTCTTTGCCATCTTTTAACCACTGGACGTCTCCTTTTGGCTTGTTGACCTCACACTGTAATGTTAGGCTTTTGCCCTTCAGAGATGCCACGTTCTCCAGACGTCTAATGAATTTGATTTTCATTTCTGGTAAAGAATCATGATAAAGATGTTACTTTTATGAAGGAGCCATCATCGTGAAAGATCAAACGAGCTAAATTCTTACCTTTTACTAAAAGGCTGAAAAACATTTCATCCGTGCCTATGTCACAGACATATTCGCCAGAATCTGACAGCTGCAGAGGATTAATGGTGAGCTTATGGGTTTCAGCCTCACTGGAGATATGAATGTTGTCCCTATCCAACAGCTGGCCGTCTTTCAGCCACCGAACGTTAGCTCTTTCATGGGTTACTGTGGCACACAATGTGACACTCTCATTTTCATAGGCTGAGATGTTATTTTGGGAATGTTTATTGATGAACTTGGCTGGTGAGTCTGTGGATAAAACAAAATACAAACATGAACCAGACCATAAATAATCCAAAAGGAGTTTACTCTTGAATAAGTCTCAGTTTTGTCCCTGCCTCTTGGCTAGATTGTCGTTGTCAATGAGAATAAGTTCTCAATCGACTCACCTGCTTAATTAAAGGTCAAATAAAAATAAAGTAAAGGTTTATTCTTACCTTGCACTTTCACAATTGTAATCAACTTGTCATCAGACGCATCACACATGTATTCTCCTGAATCTGAAGGCCGAAGTCCAGAGAGAACAAACTTCCTCATTACATCATGACTTTCGATTTTTATCCGGGGATCTGATGTGAGTAACTCGCCATTCCGTAGCCACTTAACCGTTGCATTTGGTTGAGAAACTTCACATTCCAGAATGAGGTCATCTCCTGCTGCTAGTACATGATGTTCTGGATTGCCTGAATTTCCAATGATTTTCACAAGAGGCTCTGAAGATTGAACATGTTAATATGAAAAAAAGCTGTAGAGAGATTATGATCTGTTTTATTGCTTCTATAAATGCTTTTATGATTACCTTTGACGGTAATGTGAAAAACCAACTTGTCGTCAACAGCATCGCAGGTATACACCCCTGAGTCTTCAAATCCAGCATTTAGAACAACCAGTGATCGGAAAACGCCTTGTTCCTCACAACAGTACTGCTTAGTGTCATCAATAAGCTGATTGTCTTTGTACCAGTTGACTGAGGCGTTGGATCTTGAGAGTTCACACACTAAAATGATATCATCTGACACAAAAAAATGCCTTTCTGTTTTTGCCTCAGTTTTCCCAAGAATTTTTACCGGCAACTCTGTAAATGTATATAACAATAGAAAATAATAGTTATTTTGGCAAAATCATCTGTTTGTGTTCATTGTAAAAAATAAAGAAATAAATAAATAAAACTTTTGGTTAAACTCCATGGTAATGCCTCATATGATGGAGGTCCGTTTAAATACTTGGTGAGCCTACTTAAGGATTCATGTGAAGCGAATCAAAAAGCAATAGTTTAGTTAATGCAATGAACAAATCATACTGTATTGTTATGAATAAACAATAAGAAATTGGTTGAGTCAACAATTAAAGGGTACAGCAACAACTATACTCAAGATGACACCAAAAACAACAATGTAAGAACTCCCGTTATGAAACTGTCCATGCAAGATATCAGCAAACGACTGTATTTTTGTCTTGCTGGTTGTTGCTTCTGTTTTGGTTCCTTTATAGATTACATCCCACAACTATTGCAACATTCTGCAGCAGTATCAAATTTGGACTTGTTGTATTTGAAAAGCATGGGTCAAATATTAGGGAATGAGAAGTAGTCTACTCATTCCCATGGAATAAACCACAAAGCCTGGATGCAGGGGCTAAGTGCATTGAATATGAAATATATGCATTCTTTCATGTCTAACATCCAAATGGACCGAGAAGCAGCTGCTTTCCAAGAGGAATTTGCCCGTCAGAACTAGAGGTATACCAGATATGTCCATCGCCATAATGTGGGTGTAGGTGCCAAGCCTCAGTAACTAGTCGCGATTGGTTTGTTTATGAGATTTAAGATCCCACTGAGGTAGGATATCAATGGCCTGCACCCTTTGTGGGGGCCAAGTGCAAAAATACTTTCTAGACGTCTGAAACAAGATGCAAATGCAGCATCGTATGCTGGAAAATTTGCCGCAGAAACAGTGGTCCTTCCCTTCTGGTAGGAAGCCAATTGTAAGCATATTTCATGGCTTTTGGACATTATGGCACAACAAATAAAACATAAGTGATTCTTTGTAAAATGTTGACATAAAAAAACCTACCTTGTACTTTCACGTTGAAATGCATTACATCATCTTTCGCATCACAGATGTATTGCCCGCTGTCCTCCACTGTTAAAGAGTGAATGGTTAACTGACGCATGATTCCATCCTCAAGGAAAGTGGTATTTCTAGAGTCTTCCACTTCTTCTCCATTTTTCTTCCAGGTGATTTCAGCATTAGGTCTTGAAACTTCACAGTCTAGAACCAGAGTCTCACCAACCACTTTCTCTATACAACTAGCCACTTTCCGTGGACGTATAAATCGAACAGGAGGTTCTGTGCATTAAAAGAAAATGGTAGTGATATTAAAACATTAGGACATCTAAATAATGTAATCAATTTTTTTTTAGTTCTTTACCTGCTATGTTCACAAAAAAGGTGACAGAATCGTCCCCTGTGTCACATACATATTCTGCGGAATCTTTGACGGTTGTTTCAGGTATAATGAGTCGTCTGTAGACGCCATCCCCCTCAAGAATAAGGGTGTCATTCTCTTCCACCTCAAGCCCATCTCGGTACCACCGAACCACTGCATTAGGCCGTGAGATCTCACAACTCAGCACCATTCTTTCAGAGGTCTGCTGGCACAGTTCCATTTGAGACTGACTCGGGGAAATAATCTGCACCGGAGGTTCTGGAAGTACAGATTAGGCCAGAGATGAAGCATTGTTTCTTTGTTAAAAGGAATATAAAATAAATTGGTGGCCTTCGCATTTAAGACACTACTCAAGATGTTTTGTTAATCCACACAAAATTCAACAGGCTTACCTGTGATACTGAGGTGAAAGAATATAGAATCGTCAGCCGAGTCACAGACGTATTCTCCGGAGTCCTCAACTCTACTTGAAAGAATCTTAAGCCGCCGATAAGGGCCTTCAATCTTGAGCTTGATGTTTTCACACTCTTGAAGCTTCTGGCCATCTTTGAACCAGCTGACAACACCATTAGCACGAGATAATTCACAGCTCAAAATAATTTCCTCTGGAACGTGGCGGTCGAGGTGGACGTCCTCTTTGGGGTGGACTATCGTCACAGGGGGCTCTATGGAGATACACAGTGAAACATCATCCATGACGTCTAATTCAAACCATCAGAGAGTGTGTCATTATAATGCATTGGCGAGTGTAATTTGGAAGGTTTACTTTACCTCTTATGTTAACCTTGAAGATTAAAATGTTGTCTCCAGCACGGCACGTGTATGTGCCTGTATCAGACAGCTGGGATGAATGTATAGTCAGAGTTCTTTCAGTTCCTGTTGCTTGTATTGTAACCTTATTGTTCGATTGTATTTCGGCTCCGTCTTTGTACCACAGGACAACACCATCAGGCCTCGAGACTTCACATGACAAAACAAGCTGCTCTTGTTCCACAGCGCTGTGAAAAAGATCTTTTTCTGGGACTTCAGCAAATATCACCGGTGGAGCTGTGGAAAACACAACACAAAAGACCTAAGTTGTGGCCTGAAAGTGAAACTCAATATTTCATCTCATGCATGTAGCAGCTGTAAGGTCAGATGAACATGCCGATCTCAAGACTTGCTATTTACGTAACGCCTCATCACAGACACTAATAATCTTTGATTGTTAATCCACCTTTGAAGCAAATGAAAACATTGAACGAAGCAGTGCATGGATTTAATACTATGTAAGTTGTTAACGGTGAAGGAAAATATGGTCACAAAAAGCGGCTTTAATTCAACCACAACGTTTAGAAATGAATCGACTGTGACGAATAAAGGGATGATCAGGATTTGCTTTCTTTGGTATTAGAGGCCATGGAGGCGGACACGACTGGAGGGTAAGAACAGCTCAACAAGGAAAACATTTAGCGTGTCACCTTTCTCTTCCTGAAAGAAATCGCTGAAATCTGAATCACCATCAGCTTTACAGTCAAACACTCCAGAGTATGAAGTTGACTCCTCGACCCGTGTCTTCATAATTCTGTCTGATGTGACCTGCATTGATTCTGGCACAAGTTTTATCCCATCATCACACCGGCAGGATCGGGTTGTGGTGTCTGAGTTCTCACACTGCGGTTTGGTCATGCTGTTTGCTTCGACAGAGCAGTTCCTCTCAGATGCTGGAACAGCTGAGAATCAAACCCATGCTAAAGGACTTTTGTTTCATTGGGCAGTAATTAGGTAGTAATTTAGAATTAATGTTATGTAAGACTTAGTAGCTTGAGTTTGGTTGGTCTAAAGGTTAAATAAAACACACACACAAAAAAATGTATTGTCTGTGCTAGCTAAAGCCAGGTTCATTGTCTGCTATGTATGGCCATTGTGGACAACATCTTTTGCTCTGAGAGATTTGTAAGATTTGTCTTTGGTCTTGAGTAAGCAGCCTGTGGTCTTTCAGGATGTTTGGGTCAACAACAGCTGGTTTGGCAGTTTCAAAACTAATGCTGAAGCCAATACCTTTGCTAGGCCTTTTCCCTCAACGTCATCCCATTTTTTTCTGAACCAAAATCTGACGCAGGTTATTGTGAAGATTTTGATTAGCACACTTTTGTAGCTTAATGTTGTGCAAGCCTCAGAGAGAAATCATTATGAATGCCCCTTTAAAAGTGTTAAAAACATGTTAGGTTGTCATTTTCTATCGACAAACTGCTACACAGAGCAACACTTGCATTCGTTTTTGGTAGAGTTGGATGATTTTAACAGTATGTACACTGCTTGGAACCACCAAGTAAACATCACAATCTAACTTTTTACTTGATGTTTATGGCATTTTTTTTCCCAAATTAATACAATTTCAAATAAATGTACTTTTCTGCAGCCCACAGTGGGTTCAACACCCTCCAGTTAGATTCTTTACCAAAGCTAAGAAGGGCAAAAACATCATCCCCATTTCTTGGCTCCCTAAAATGGCTCTGAGAAACTTTGTATTGATTGCCTCCAATTAATTTTAGACTCACTGACTCAGTTTACATCCTGACTAAGACCAACCAAGCAGTTTAAATGAACATGGAACCCTTCATTGAAACTTAGGAACACCACATCTCTGTTCACCCACAAATCCAAGTTTGCTCTTGGATGGATATCCATACAATTATTATGAACGTGACTAAATATTATTAGAAAATTAACTACATTTGAGGATAAAATAAAACTCCAAGCATGAGCTAAAAAGGGGTACTTGTTCATCTAAAATGAACCCAAACCAGTCCAATTTTTAATTTGTTTCAACTAAACAAGCAGAATGCAATTTCATACTAAAATGAACTGTTTCATTGTAGGTTTTCTGTTAGGATGTATACCAATAATCATTAGTGGCTGTTAAAATGTACATTTGAAGCATTCATTTAGAGTTAGTGATTCAGACAGAACTCAAAATACCTCCAACATCCACCTTGAATTGTATACGGTCGTCTGCGCTCTCACAGCAGTACAACCCAGAGTGCCTGACTTCTGCTGATGTAACAACCAGCGCCCTCAGCTTTTCATTTGTGTGGATTTCATATTCGCTTGCCAGTAACAACTGTTCTCCATCTTTACGCCAACAGACTTGTGCATTTGTCTCTGAGACTTCGCACTGCAGCTTAATCGGGGAGCCTGATTCCACAAATTTGTTTCTTGCGACTTCTGGTAGAACTGAGAACCTCACAGGAGTAGCTGTGGATTGCAAGGGATTTCAGTTCTGTTAAGCTAACATAGACAAGTATGTATATGGTTCACTAAATTCTTGCTGAAAGTTTTGTTTTGAAAATTACGTTAAATAATTCACCTTCAACGTAGACTTGAAAGGCCACAACTTCCTCTGCAAGGCTACAGCAGTAAAGGCCAGAATCAGAAACCTTAGCCGACTGAATTAGTAACTTTCTGAGGTGGCCATCTCTTTTCATATCAAGGCCCGTTTTTGAAAAAAGTTCAATTTTATCTTTAACCCAGGAAACCTGGGCAGCAGGGTCTGAGACCTGACACTGCAGGATTACTGGAAAACCAGTCCTAACAATCTTGTATGTTCCTGAGCGTGGGTCTGCTGTGATCTTTGGTGATTGGCCTAAGAAGGGAGATAGATAAAATAAAAGATACATTCACTGACCATGAAATATTAGTCACCCCACTTTGCCAAACTCGTTCAAAAGAGATACAGAGAGACACTTTTAGATTACGCAAAGGATATGAATGAATCACCTTTTATGTCCACCTTAAAAGTGATGGTGTCATCTGATGTCGAACATTCGTAGATACCAGAATGTTTGCTCCCAGTCAAGGGGATGATCAAGGTCCTCATCAGGCCATCTGACTGTATCTCCAAGTTGTTCTGAGGCAGGAGTTTGGCTCCATCCTTATACCAATCAACATGAGTTGAAAGATCATGAGAGAGCTCACAGCTGAGGACAAGAGGAGTCCCTTCCTGAATGGACTTGTTCCTGTCATTCTCTTGAAGCTCCGAGAACTTCACAGGCAGTTCTAAAGGTTTTGGACATTGTAAAAAAAATAAAATAAAAAAAAGAGTGAAAAGAATAACTTAAATGAAGAAGTAAATTGTAACTTCAGAGCTTCAGAAAGTGAATGAAGATAGACGCATGAGATCAGCACATTGGACAGAATACACAATTCCAAAAGCAAAGCAACAGAAAAAATAAACAAAAACAATGTTTAGAAGAGGAATACTGGTGAGTGACATGTAACACCGTCAAGTCAAAATGTGTAATTATTTAAGATAAACAAGAAATATGCAATGAAAGATGGGTGAAAGGTCAGCTTTGGGTGCACAATGTGTTTGATAGGTTATATTTTTTTAATTTAGATTAATCAATTAGAAGACCAACAAAAGGAGCTCATCTTATGTATAATATTAAAGAAGCTAAGGGTTAATAACTGACCATTCTGAGACAAAAACACAGTCAACATAATCACTCGCCGTTAGTAACATGTAAGACAATTAGATCACATAGAAAAGCCTTTGAGCATCACCTTTGACTTCCACTGAGAATTGGATGTCATCATCCTTTGACTCACACCTGTACACACCAGTGTGAGTTTGCTTGGCTGAAGGCACGACCAAACTTCTCAGACTCCCCTGTGACTGGATGGCTACTCCATTTTCTGGCAGAAGCTTTGTTCCATCTTTGAACCAACTGACTTGTCCACTGGGGTCTGACAGCTCACACCGCAGAGCTATGGGAGAGCCAGCTATCACTGTCTTTCTCTGGTCAGCCTCAGATACTGCTGAAAATGTCAGAGGAGCTACACAATTGAATATGAATAAGAGAAAATCCATAATTAAAATGCATTTTTAGTCCATTTTTAAAAAGTGTAATCCTTTAAAGAAAATTAAACATTTGGTGTCATTTGAAGCCAGTCAAAATTCCACGGTACATCTTAGTGATGAAATGGCCAGAGGTCAGCTTTTTTCCATCATGGAACAATTATAAGAAGATGCCACCTCATAGATAGAAAAGGCAAGAATTAGATGCACAAGTTTTAATTTAATGTGGTTTAAAATATAGAAACTGGGAAAATATTCCATCAAAATAATTAGTAAGCATTACTGAATGTTCTAGAATGTCTTATTAACTTTTTGTCAGTTATATTGTTTGGCTAGAGTTGGTAATTCCTGTTTTCCAGCATTAGGGCTGTTTCCACTTTTGGAACGTTTGAGTAATTTTACCAGACCTTCATGTCTCCATCTCATGGGGCCAGTCCGGAAGGACAACTTTCCAGATCAACTGAGTGCCTGCATTGGAGTAGAAATGGCCCAGTAGAGTTACTGGGTGGGACTTGTGGGTTCCTCATGCCGAGTTTACTCAGTGGGAAATAATGTCAGCAGACATTGAATTCTCATGTAATCATCAGCTAGATTGCTAAAACTAGGACAGAGTTGGGTGTCCCAACAGGACAATGACCCCAAACACACACCAGAGCTGGTCTTTGATTGGATAAACCTAGCAAAAATATATTAAAAAAATTAATAAACACTGAGCTTCTCAAATGATCGTTCCACAGCCCCAGCCTATATCCAATAAAAAATCCATGGACTGTGCTCACAAGCACATCCTGTGTCAGAAAACCAGCCAATTTGAATGAACTCTGTTCCACTAATACTCGTCAAATATTGAGTTAGAATTATGTCGGAGCTTTGCTCAAAAATCTACAAAAGTTTCTAGTTGACAGGCTACTTCTAAAGGCCGGCGTACATATGCCGTGTGGCTTTTTGTCCATTTGAGCCGATTTCCCTATCATGCGAGAATCTTTGAGGTCAGGTTGAGTTTTGCATCTTGCATCATGTATTATAGGAGGTAATGAGAAGCGACGAACACCTTACAACTAGCTTTCAATAGGCAATAGTGTGGCCACACAAAAATAAAAAAAATTGAAATTCTGCTCATCCCTCGTTAGGTTCACACTGTTGAATCACCGCTACAACCCACATGTACCAGAAATAAAACTAACACTGCCCAGCATTTTTTTGTGTCGATACAGGTCGTCTCCTTTTATTTTTACACTTTTCCCCGCTTACAATGGAAAGGATTGTCAAGAACACTTGTTGTACTTATGTCAAATGAAACAGATCCAATGTTTTGGTTTGCTTCTTTTTGTTCGTCTTCCTCCTCCAACCCCCATAAACCCCTATGTGTCCAACAGCTATGGCAAGCCTCAAGGACAACAGACATGAATAGCAGTGTTATGGTCGACAGTTGTACCAGAAAGTGGCACAAGTAGGCATGAATTTATTTTTCAAGCTTTATTAGAACCTGCGTCACATTTTGCAGAATCAGGCATCCATCTTAACTTTCTCATACTCTTCCTCTTATCTTCTAGCCACATTCTCCTCTCCTATTAAATGAGGTTCTTTTAGCTTCGGACATGAAGGTGTTTCAAGTTACCTTTACACCAGAAGGAATGCGAGAAGGAAACAACAGAGACTCACAAGGACAACAAAGAAAAAAGCAGAGGAGCAAATCCTCAAGTCAGCCATCTCAAATCATTGCAAACAAAATAATCACATCATGGACTGGGATCAAGGGAAAATTACCAACACGGAGAACAACCGGTTTAAAAGTTGGGTCAGGGAGGCAAAAGAAATAAGGAAACAGGAACAGTGGAACATGAACAGAGACGAGGGGGCCTATCAGCTGTCTCGCACCTGGGATTCCCTTCTCCAAAGACCAGCCAGCGGAGGTGGGCGTGACTGACCCAGCGGCTATGACAAATCCGGGTTGGTCACGCCCACCTGAAGAACAGCTGATAAAGACGCGTCACACAAACATCTGTGACACTTCAGAAGAAGACCGCAGACAACGGTCGAAACATGTAAAGTTAACTCGAAACACCTTCATGTCCAAAGCTAAAAGAACCTCGATTAATATTTGAAAAGAGGACATAGTGAACATTGTAAAGGGTTCTCCTCTCCTATACTGCCCCATAGTGGTGAACACAACAAACAGCACAACGATCTGCGGGTCTCCTGTGGTTTCGGACTCCAAGGTTCGACATGCTACTACTTTTAGTATAATTTTAGGTCTGATTTTAGTTCTACTAAACTACAGTGTGACCAATCAGGTTGCATCTGAGCATTGGTTCATACAGATTTAGACTCTTGAGTTGCGCCCTGCAAGGAAGTCGTACAGTTTGAGATAGAGCAGACTAAAATGGTTGCACAGTGTATGCCTGGCTTTAGGAGACTTTCAACCAAATATTAGAAGGAGTTTATGCATGCATTAATGTGTTTAATTTTGACCTTGCAAACATCAAAGAAAATCCTCATTAATGCGAATCTTGTGCACTAAATTCTTGTTTTTGCAAATCACTGAAGGTTTTTGTACATCCATTCCGTCCTGGAGAAATGGTTAAAATTGGGCCACTCAGTTATTTGACAGTCATGGTCATGATGACTGCTGGGAATAAACTGAGTGTATTAAATAAACACATATTAAATAAAATATCAATATTTGGAGAAAAATAAAAAAGTGGATTTGGTCACCTTTGACATCAAGATGAAACTGCACTGCGTCGTCTGTTGTCCTACAGCTGTACGTCCCTGCGTGAGCCAGCATCACTGACTGGAATGCGAGCATCCTTACAGGGCCTTCTGCCAGCACATTTAGCCCAGACGCTTCAAGAAGTTTAATTCCATCCTTGAGCCAGGTTGCTTGAGCATTTGGGTCTGATAGCTCACATTGCAGAACTAAGGGTCCACCAACTTCAACTGACTTGTTCCTCTCATGAAGAGCTGTAATTCTCACAGGTGGAGTTGGGGATGCTTGAGGTAACATTAAGAGAGAGTTTCATCACTGTTACTGTCTACACCAAACGTGTTGCTTTGAGAAACAGAAAAAGAGCAAAACCTCAAAACAAGATTAGTCGTGCCGAAAATAAATAAATAAATAAAATGTCTTTGAAATTAGTAGTTTTAACACAATATCCATGGTTAGGCTTGATAAAACTATGCATTCAAATTAGGCCTAATAATAAAATATATATGAATCTAAAATGCTCCTTCCAGAATAATAAAGCTCTGTTTTGCCTCTAAAGCTCGATGTGGTTTAGTATACACAAAACCTAGTGAACAAATTAACATTACTACATAAAAGGATAGTAAACCTTTTTGTTTAGCACAATGTAATTATTGTGCCCATCTAAAGTTTTGTTTGATAATGCTAACCATTGAAATCACCTTCAACAGCCACCTTATCTGCAGCGACACAGTCACTCCAGTGACTGTCACGTGTACTTGACAGATTTATCTCATCTGCTTGCATGCTGGGTATCTTCTTGGTGTAATAAAGGTCTGCAAAGTTAGAGGATGCTCTTTGCCCACAATAATCGGTATGGTCCCCTTGGTCTTGTGCAGCCTCTGTGGTGTGATGACATGTTTCTTGCCCAGTTACTTCCTGACTCTTTTGAGCCATGAGTTCTGAATAATTCAATTCTTTTTGTCCTGCATGATAAACATCACCCCATTTGACACTCATCGACAAGTTAAGAGGTCCAGTTTGGGAAGATTCTATCTCCTTAGTCTTGGACCAGGAACCACCAAAGTCCATAAACTTTTTGGACAGAATACACGATGATGGTAATGGTGCATTTAAGTTCCATGATTGGTCTCTTTCAGTCCTTGAAGAGTCGCTTGTCCTCACTGAAAGGACACTACTAGACTGTGAGCAATCTAGAAGCTTCTCTGAAACAGCTTCTGACATCGTATTTGACTCACAATGACCTTCTGATAGTACTGTGCTAGTCTGTAAGCATTCAAAGTGCTTGTCTGATGTACAACTCTTATTTCGTCCAACTGGTGTAATCTGCTCCAACACAGCATCAGACGTCTGTAGGAGGTTGTCCGGCTTAAGGTGCACAGCTGGTATCTTTACTGAGTAATGCATGTGCTCTGATTGGGCAGTTATGTTGGAGATTGATTCGTTTGATTCAGATACAGTTTGTAATGAAAGACAGCAGTCATCGGTTGGTCCAGCTGTTTTCAGGGATTCGTGACGTTCTTCAGATGGGACTTCTCCATGCTGTACAAAATAGACAAAATCCTCACCTTGTGACTTTGTGGTCTGTTTAATGTGACGCTGTGTGTCAGAAAGGATTGCAGTTGACCTAACAGGCTGGCTGGCCAGTGGAGTGTGGGCCTTTGTTATTTGTTTGTTACCACAGAGCTCTGTAGTTTGATTGTTTGCAGTACAATCAGGTGAAAAGCGATAAGCTGACTGAGAAGTTATGATATCCTCCTCAGAGTCTGTGAAAGATTCTCCTCCTTTGTCAGTAAGAATGCCAGAATTGCATTTTGAAGACTTCTGGATGACTTGCTCCAGAATAGCCTCTTCAGTGGACTCGTTCCTTTCTTGATCAGGGCAGAGCCATGGCGATGCAGCTATAAGCATTGTGATGTACACAGAGAAAGGTTTTCAGTTCTTGGTGTTCTCAATACTTCGTCCACAATATATGTTCACAGCAGTGGGAGTTAGCATGAAGTTATGGGATAATCCATTGCAAAGACAAACAAGAAGGTCGACCAGGATTGGTCTGAAAGTAAACCTCAGTGCGTCTCTTAAATTGACACCTTCTGGCATACCACCAATCTGTGCTCTAACGCCTTAAAAGCCTTGCATGTAAATTGCATCTATTTGATGAGACTTCGTTGTCATTGCAACGGGGAAACGCTCAGGGCAGCAATGTGAATGAGACGATCTGGAGATGAATAGGACATAAGATGGACTTTAAGAGTTGCACGTTTTAAGCAAAGATGATGGTTAAAGTGAAGAATGGATTGACAAACAACATGTAGGTTAGTCTGAGCAGCTGCTACACATCTAGCAAACACACGTTTGATTAAGCAGCAAAATGACCCAAACCAATGATGACAGAGTGATACAAATCAGTTTTCTAAAGGAAACAAAAACAATTACAGATGGTTCAGATGATTGAGCTAACAGTGGGTCACACCACTTGTTAGTGGCATTTATGGTCAATATGGATGGCTGATTTAGAAATATTAAATCACCTTTGACATCCACAGTGTATTGGGCAGATGCATCAGCTACCGCATCAATCTCATGACGACAGTGACACTGTCCGGCTGTTTGGACAAAGCCAAAAAAAAAAAGACAATGAGCTGGGTGATTGATCTATGCTTGTATCTGCAATCTTGAATAATAATTGTGCAGGTGCAATGAAGGGCAACACCTTTTACATCCACAGGTAATGGTGTATCGTTCAGTGCATCACAGCTAAACCTGCCATCACCAGATAAGACTTCTGGCTGGAGGGGCACGATTTGGTTCTGCTCTATGCTGTCACCTTCCAATTCGGGATATATTGGAGTTCCGTCTTTGTACCAGCAAGCTTTTGCAATAGGATCTGAAATCTCAAACTGCTGAACAATTTGGCAGTTTGCTTCAGCTGACTTGTTCTTCTCATCGGGTTCAAGCTTGTGTGTTGGTGGGGTTACTAAAACAGTAATCGTGGGATCATTTCAGTGCAAATCACATTTAAATTTTAGAGGTAAAAATAACAACAATCACAGACATGTACACAGAGCTAGAATCTAAAGCAACAGACAAAGACATAACCATAACAAAACATACATTTGCAAATAAGAAAAAATCACCTTGATTTTCTACTATTAATTTGGCAACATCATCTGCTGTTGCACAATAGTATGCGCCAGAGTTTGAAGGATGCGTTGGTTCAACGACAAGGGTCTTGTTGATGTCTTCCATTTCAAAATCAAATTCTTTGCTTGAACATGATTCAGATTCTTTCGGCTGTGACGCTTGGAAAACAGGGTCTGAGGTTTCACTGGCTGGTTCGGATAGGCCGGTTTCTCCGAGTGACCGCATCTCCACAACTTCTGCTGAGGGCGACGTTGTTGAAGCTAAAAATAATGATTCAAAACATAACTGAACAGACGCAGAAATGTCAAACCCTGAAGAATGGTTTAGAGTCGTCCCCCCCCCCCCCCCCTCCCAAAAAAAGGGTTGCAATTATCTATATATTTCAAAATCATTGAAAAATAAATGACCATGTTAAATTTTACTCATGTCTTCTTTCTTAGGTAGAGGTTAATTTGCAGTACTTGGTTATGCCCTTTCACAAAAAGCCCGCTGGAACACAACAACAGTCTGAATGAAAACATCACCTTTCTTTGTCTCAGAGACGTGGATATTGTCATCAGAGCTCTCACAGCTGTATTGCTCTGGCTGCAAGAGCTCCGCAGATGGAATAATGAGTCTCGCTGATGTGCCGTCACTCTTTATATCCCAACCCTTTTGTGGGCAGAGCTGTTTACCATCGTTATACCAGCTGACAGGCACAGCAGAGTCTGCAACCTTACATTCCAGCTTCAAAGCTTTGCCAACTTCAAGTGACTTGGCTCTCTCATCATCAAAAATAGTAGAGCATGTCACTGGTAGAGCTAGCATTGGGAATTAAGGACAACTAAATAAACCCAAGGCTGTGGAAATGGATACCTTTGAAAGATATGACTGCTGAGCAGAAGATAAGTGGTTCTTTGAAGACGTGCAGTTCAGAAAGAGCCACTGCAGTCGCAAAGCAAGTGAAAGTATCGCCTAGTGCATCGTGAATTTTAAAGGTTATAAAGCAGCCCATCAAACCGCTTCAGCAGAGATTGTTAGTGGCACCTGCAAAGAGGGAGTTATAACGTAAAGGCTTAAGAAAGGAAAGGTAAAGTCACCTTTGATCGTCACTTGAAATTCCACTGTATCATCCCGTGTGGCGCATCTGTACAAACCAGAGTGGCACGGTTCTGCAGACTCAATAATTAAAGTCCTGGTGTTGCCCTCTGAGTGGAGTTCTAATTCAGTGTTAGATATGAGCCGCACGTCATCCTTGTACCAGCAAACCTGGCCTTCAGGGTCACACACCACACACTGAAGTACTACAGGGCAGCCGGCTTCAATCAACTTCATCTTCATATCTTCAGGAATAAGTGAGAACTTCATAGGTGGAGCTACGGATATGTTTAGAATGTATATCAGCCACGAGTAAACCTCATGTTTGCAGTTTAGGTTATTCACCACAAGTTATCGACTTGCATGCTGTAACATAGTGAAAGATAAAAACATAGCTGCAGATCTAAGAAGCACCAAGAAAAAAAGATGGCAGCGCATCAGAAAACAGAGAAGAGATCAAAAGAGTAGGTTAGTTGCGAGTAGGAGCTTGTTAATGATTCACATCACTTCAAGGTAAGTAAATCACCTTTGACATCCACACTGAATGTGATGGAGTCACCCTTTGTCTTGCAGCAATACAAGCCAGAGTGGGCAACTTCTGCTGAATGGACATTCAGTTTCCTCTCATAGCCGTCAGTTATGATATCTACTCCACCTTGAGGATGGAGCTTTGACCCGTCTTTGTACCAGTGCACCTGGGCAAAGGGGTCTGACAGCTCACATTGTAAAACAATTGGGCAGCCAGTTAGGATGGTTTTGTTCCTTTCTGCATCTGGAAGTGTTGAAAACCTCACTGGTGGGGCTATGGATATGTAGACATTGCAATCATTTGTAAAGGCATAAAATTATTTTTTTGCACAAGTTCATCTGTAATACACGGCAACATACACATACTGCACATAGAAATACATTCATGAAGATGAAATAAAGGAGGGAAATTTGGCATAAAGATGACCACAGACAACGATATGGTAAAGAATTCAGGCTACTCACCTTCTACCTCCACATTGAACCTGATGACATCATCAATAGCATCGCAGCAGTACACTCCTGAATGTGAGAAGTCTGCTGATTGGATGACAATTCGTCTCATTGTACCCTCTGCCTGGATATGAAGACCATCCATTGTTTGTAGTTCTACCCCATTCTTGTACCAATGCACTGGAGTTGCAGGGTCAGAGATCTCACAGTAGAGTACAATTGGGTTCCCAACTTCTACAAACTTGTTTCGATCCATTTCAGACAGTGGTAGAAACTTCACAAGTGGAGCTGAAATTTTAGATAGGGAATACTTTTGTTTAGCCTGGCGAGCCATGCTAAAGCTTCCTTATGGCAAGCAAAGGGCCTGGTAACGCTTCCAATCAAATAACCTCACCCTCTGAGAATTCTGACGAAGACAATCAGCACTGAACCGTGTACGTCACACCGCAACGCTCAGTTTCTCATGAACGATGATTTTGTCTGAAGCTGAGTCCGCTGTGGCTCTTTCCTCTGTTCTAAATGACTTTGACATGACTTTAAAACCACAACAGGAAGAAGCGCTAAAATGCTTTCTTTTAAAGAAAGATGTTTGCGCTGTCACCAGACGCCATCTTTGACTACAGCTAAAAAATGACAGTGTTGCATGGTACAATTGTCATCTCTGCCTTTTTTTCTGACTGGTTATATTTGATCTGGCTAGCCCCACCCCTCATGTTGCTGTGTGGTGAGTATCCAGACTCATCCTCTGTGTAAAATAGACAGAGGATGAGTCTGGCAGGCCAGGCCATGTTTTGATAGTTTTGTCTCACCATTATCTAAACACAGTACAAAAACATGCATTATGTATTCCTCATTCTACCCACTTTTCCCTTTTTGAATCAGAGGCGTCTAGAAACCAAATCCTTCTCACCCCTGCTGCACATTGGAAGCATCAGCAGTGCAGAACGGCACTGCTTCAAATAGAATCCATTATAGTCTACGGAGTGTTTCAAACCAGCTGCAATGTGACGATTTTCAGTTGCGCCCCAAAAGCAGCACGCCACATCGCTAAAGTTAGCATCGGGTTCTATTTTTTTCCACAATCCGTTTCTGGGATGCTTCAATTTCCAGAGTTAACATAGGGCTAGACAGGAAATCACACACTGTTTCAGTGTAAAATTCACAGTAATTTTCAAAATAAAAGTATTGCAGCAATGCAATTTCATGTATATATGAAGCTTACGGGTGACCCAACGGTTTATATACTCCCAGTATTTATTTATTTATTATTTATTTAACTTATGTTTTTCAGGAGGATAAACTGCTTGAGATGTAACATCTCGTTTTCGAGCAGGTCCTCCTACAACACAACTGATAACAAATAAGGTGGCAGAGTTAGAAAGTTATAACAGACTTAAAAAAGAGAAAAGAAAGAAAGTAAATAAATAATAATAGTAAAAATAATGATATGTGTAAAGTATATATACACACGTAAATGAGTATACACACACAAATATATACGCGAGGAGGTTGGCAGAAGTTTGGAGGGAATTTGTGATCTCGCGAGTCAAGCGAGAAGCGCGGCTGAGGAGCTGCTTCGCTGCTGAGACTCTCCCAGTGTGCACTCGAGTGCAGTGATTGTTGTGAGTAAACCGTTCTGCACCGCTGATGCTTCCAGTGTGCAGTGGGGGAAAGACATAACCCAAACTTAACTTTCCCATTCTGGATTCCCACTCAGAGGGTTATAATAAATTCATACCTGCAACACTTCCTCCTAATCCTATACCTTCATCTCACAATCAGTTCTTACCCACCGTTAACAGTCTCCTATGAATCGCTTGAACCATGACAAAATAGTCAATGTAGTGAAAAGACATTCATCCAGTTGACCCAGACGTACCTTGAATGTACAGTGCTGCAGAATCCCGAATGCCATATGCAATAAATGTAATCTCAGCTCCGTTATCCGTGTCCCGTACTCCTCTAATGCGAAGAGACTGGTGGGTTCTTGACCGACGCATGGAATAATGCTCATCCTCTTGAAGCTGAGTCCCATTCAAGAACCACGTACCAATAACTGAAGCAGAAAGTTCAATTGAGAATAGTGCATCTTGCCCTTCTGGCACCAAGGCATCTTGTAATGGAGCTTGTATTCTAGCCACAGGAACTGCAAAGAAAAAAACATGTTCAAGATGTACCAAGGGAAGCTGTCCTAATCTGTGAATCATGTGTTCATAGATTAGGATGAACTGTTTATCTGCTGGTAAATCAAAGGTTACCTAGGTGAACAGTTCTTGGAAATTCAACATTGTTGCTTTTTCCGTATTTGTTCACACTGCAAATGCGAAAGCGATAATCTGCCTCACACGGGACACTGTCACCGAGGATCTCAACCGAAGTGGCAGAGTCTGTGGTCAGGCACTGCAGCCACTCCTGAGAACCAGTGCCCACTTCTTGTCGTTCAAGCACATATCCAGATGGAGGGTTCTTTCGTGAGTCCGGTGCCGGAGTCCATGAGAGCAGAGCAGCATTAGCGTGCTCTGTGTTGATCTGCACTCCCAGCGGACAACTGGGAGGACAATGTCTGGCCGCTAAAATGGGAAAACATCAGTTAGAATACAAAGAACAGAAAAAAATGCACTGTGACGAATGATTTGCTGGTGGTGGAACCCACATTTCACTCTTAACTGGGAGGAGGTCTTGGATCTGCCCACCAGAAAAGTCACAAGGCCGGAGTCTTGGGGCATTGTATTGACGAACACCAAAATGTGAGTTCGACCAAAAGACTTCAGGATCGTCTGGTGGGTTTCGCGCAACTCTGTGCCATCCTTGTACCAATGTATGTCCATTTCTTCTTTTTCCACTTCAACACAAAATGCAGCATTTTCACCTTCCAAGACATCCACCTTCCGTGGAAGTTTTCGCAAAATTGTACCTGCAAGGAAAAACAAAGTTTTGACAAGCATCAAATCTAAAAATGATTATATTATATTATTTAAGTTATATTTTTAAAGAAACATATAAAGATTACTGATGGATTTTCATGATTTAATTATTAAATTGTCCAAAAATCTAAGTGTCACATATTGAAGCAACACTAAGTGTCAGTTGCTTAACCCAAAATTTAAGAAAATGATTAAAATCACCTTTTACAGCTACCTCTGCTATGCTTCTACCCCCATCGGGCATCTCACAGAGGTAAATTCCATCATCATCAACCCCAATGTCACGGATCGTTAGCCGCCGTTTTGTTCCCCATTCCTCCATTCCATATTTGGCCCCTGGCTGCAGTCGTCTATCCTCCAGATACCATGTAATTGGAACAGAGTCTTCAGGAACTTCACATTCAAGGACAGCTAAGTCTCGTTCCCAAACTTCTAGATCATAGAGAGGCTGCTTAAATCGTACAGGTGGCTCTGAGATCGGAAGATGAAAAAGATGTCACTCAAAAATAGAGAAATATTCATATTTGATTATCATGTAAAATTAGTATTACTTTAATCGTATGAATACTGAAAGGAAGCTGACCCTGAGGAAACTCATGCATGCCCTATTAACACAGTCAAATGAAATATGTTTTACAACTAATTCCACTTGAGCAAACAAGATGTGCAAAATCAAGAGACAAGAAACACATTTAGTCAAGGAACAAGAAGGCTGTAAACACACTGAGGTGTTAGATAGGGAATATACTGTTTGTAACGGACACCATCAGACATTACCAGACAGTTGTAAACTACAGAATGTGGGTCACATTTAGTTATCTGTGTTAAGCTCCATATCTTGTTATGGATCACTTCCCTTCAAATCTCCCCACTAGTTATGATAAACCAATAATTTCACCTCAGCGTTTTATTTCAACCTCTTACTGACACAGTGAAAGGATGTTTTTGTGATACTTAAATGGTGCAATGAGTTTGGACTTCTCTGGGCCACGTGCAACACACGATATCCCACTGAAAGGCTTCTTTCGCATGGGCAAACTCCCGTAGACCTTTCATAAGCTAAATGACTTTGCAGACATCACTGTAAGGTTGAACTCTATCTCAAACTGAAGAATTTCATCCATTTGGACATTGCCAAGCTCAAATGTCCTGCATTATTGCATTTTATTGATCTCCCAAGAGTTTATAAACCGACTATAATTTCACGTCTGATGAATTGATCTAACCCTAATCCTAATCCCAATTTAATCTAGTAATGTAAATAGTGACACAAAGCAAATTTATTGATTTAGGTTGTAAAAAGTTGGGTGTACCGACTGCTAGTGCATACACCGCTTTTCCCCTAATCATAGTTGCAACATATAAGAAAATCTTATTTCATGCCCATATACATCCGATTCATTGACCCCCTACTAGAAAAAACAAAAAGAATGGGAGTCTATGGGCCAATAAAAGTTATTATCTGATCCCATTTGATGGTTTTAACATATAATTTCTGTGAGACACATTCCGATGCCAAGTAAATGTTGGGGGTGGGGGGTTGGAGTCAAAAAACATCAAATGTGAACTTAATAAACCTCTTTTTATCACCCTGTAGACTGACTTTATATCTGTTGGCTCTGTTGGGGTTATCTTATTACTTCATTATTAGGCTATCCTGCTTCAATAGGTTAAGGCTGTTTACAAGTTAGAGCACATCTCTCATCATCAGATTAAATGTGTATCATTTAATCAAAAATTAAGTTAAAGCTGATTACGATTTAGACCTATTTTTCACCAGTTTTCATTATTCTGGAGAAGAAGCAGACCTGATGCACACAGCTTGGCAGAATAGGGCAGTTTTATTCAATTCAAGTTTATTTATAAAGCGCCAAATCACGACAAGAGTCGTCTCAAGGCACTTCACATAATAAACATTCCAATTCAGGTCAGTTCATTAAGAAAACAGTTTTATTAAATGTCATACCCAGGTAAGGCACATATGTACTCTAATGCTTCAGAGCCAAGATATATAAAGTAAGTCCAACAGTTTGATAAATGCAACAAGATTTAAATTCATATTTTACATTTTTCAGTTTTTTAATGAAACATAAAATACTGTGCAAACCAGGACAGAATGTTTATTATAGCGCTAAGTTCACATTTTCTTTACTAAACTCCCCAAACCAAGTTTCTGCTGATGGCAGAAGGACACAGTCAGTACTTAGCGAGGACAGTCAGTTTGCTGTTTAATGAAATAGCCAATCGTAGTAGAGCCTTTCTAGCCAATCAGAGACGAGAAAGGCAGGATCCTCCTTGGACATCCTAGAATTCCAAATTATGCTAACCGCGACAGTGCCAGAATGCCAGAGAGGCTAGTCCACCCCAGGGCAAATGCCCGCCAACCACTGGTGGCTTCAGTTAGCTCATTTAGCTCACAGCTACATTGGCTCAGAGTTTGGTGGGTGTCGATCATCTGCCCCCACCCTCCCAGCTACATTTTTGTATTTTGCGGGAGTGAACAGAAGTGTGACATGGCGGTGGTTGGAACCGCCCGCTCGGATTCAATGGTGGGGCTGGATGGCGTGAGTTCGGTCTCGAAAGGGCGATGTAGTGTTCACTTAAAAATCCGAGGGACTTCTCAGGAAGGAGGAAATCCTCAAGCCTGCGGGCGGCGTTTAATACGTGTGGGAAAGTCCGCGGTGTCCTCCACAATAAGGTAAACAAAGGCAGGCATGAGCTGTGCTGCTTTTGGAGACTCTGAAACACATTATTCTGTTAACTGGCGGTGTGTGTCCTCATAATCTTGTGCCACACACACTGCTTTCTCCCCTGAGCAGCTGTCTGCTCGCCGGGGTGAGAGCTCCGATGCAGAGGACAGGCACACACACACACACACACACACACACACACACACACACACACACACACACACACACACACACACACACACACACACACACACACTCACTCTCTTATCCCGTTCCCACTGAGAGGCAGCTCCGTGCTACAGACAGAAGTTTACTCAACAGCAGCCAGCATGAAAATGATTTGCGCATGCAGGAAACCCCGCTGGCTCATTCTGCTCGCAGATCGGAGACGGTAGGCATAATTTCAGCCGGCCATTCAGTCCGAAGTGTCGTCTCGGTCCCAGTCCGACCGCCGGGGAGAAGGTCTGAGAAAAAGAGTTGCCTCGGAACAGAAAATGCAAATCTGACCTGTGTGTGAAACCAAATTCCAGTTCTGGAAGAAACCAGTAGGGACCGAACTGAAGCTAATGTGTAAGTGCCATTAGACTCTTCAGAACCGTACAAGTCACATCATATATACAGGTATTGGTGAAACCCCATAGAGGACTCCCAACTACTCGTCTCACCACGTTTAGGCCATCAAACCGGAAATGAAGTACACAAAGGTGAAAATAGGCTTTCGTCCTTCTTCCTGGACAAAAGGTGGAGCATTAAGAGTAAACCACTATTTCATTTCATTTCATTAAAGCCCCTTCTGCGACCAATGCAGACGCCCAAGGTGCTGAACACAACACAATAAAAACATAAAACCATCAGAATGAAATCTAACAATCGTAAAACCAATGTACAATCAATTAAAAGAGGAGAATAAAAGCAAAAAATAAAATCCTGACAATGATTAAGAGGCCGGGGCATCGAAACCGGGTAAAATGAGCTAATCCTGGAATGCCTCGAAAACAAAATGTGTCTTAAGGCGAGTCTTAAAAACCCCCAACGAGGGTGACTGGCGCACTACCAAAGGCAACTGGTTCCAAAGTGCAGGTGCCAACACACGAACGCACGGTCCCCCCGTGACCTGCACTTGGTGCGTGGAATGATCAACAGCTCTCTGCCGGCTGAGCAAAGGGCCCGCGAGGGGGCGTGTCTATGCAAAAGGTTGCCAAGATATGCTGGAGCAGTTCCTTGTAAGGCCTTGTATGCCAGTACCAAGACCTTGAATTTTGCCCTGTATTGCACAGGCAGCCAATGAGGGGATGCCAACACAGGGGTGATATGTTCCCTGCGCTAGTGCCCGTCACGAACCTAGCGGCTGAGTTTTGTGCTAACTGCAAGCGCAGTAGTCGAGCCTTGAAAGAACAAAAACATGTGTGACAGTCTCTAAATGTACTCTGGACAGCAGGGGCTTAATTCTGGCTAGTCGGCATAAGTTTAAAAAACACAATTGCACATCCTGTTTGATTTGCGTGTCGAGTTTAAGGGCTGAGTCCATTTGCACTCCCAAATTTCGGATGATGGTCTTCATGTTAGATGCTAAAGTGCCCAGATTCACAGCATCGCATGGGTGTGTGGACATGCCAGGGCTAAGTACAATTACTCCAGTCTTAGCGTCATTCAGATGTAAAAAGTTTGTAGCCATCCAGGAGCGCACATCCTCTAAGGCATCTACAAGCTTTGATATTGACCTATCGACCCCCCGCTGAAGGGGGAGGTAGATCTGACAGTCGTCAGCATAAAAATGAGAACACATGCCGAACCGCCTAAGAAGATTCCCCAACGGTAGTAAGCAGATGGCAAAAAGAAGCGGACCCAGTACAGACCCTATAAATCTGGACATGTGATAAGCAGCAGCTACACTAGGGGAGATGTGATTCTGTTGTGGTATCATATATGTGACTTCTTATATCCCAGAAAATGACCTCAGTGTACCTTTTTTTATCTCACTGACATCATCTGAGCATCAAATGGACAGAAATTTGATACAATCATTCATAACTCCCTTCTCAGTCCTTCTACTCCATGCAAAAGGTATTACAGGCTTGGACTGTGTTCACATAACTCTTTTCTTGATTTCATTTCACTTCAGTCAGATTCAGTCAGTCAGAAGCTACTGAAAAAATATTTCACTTACCCTTGACGGAAAGGTGCACAGCGCTAAGGGTTTGCCCTGCAGTGTTTGATGCAGCACAGACATAAACTCCATTATCCTTTTGCTTACAATACAGGACCTTTAGTGTGAAGTACCCCTCTCTGTCCTCGTATAACAAGTAACGCCTTCCAGACAGTATGAGTCTCCCATCTTTCCTCCAGATTATTTCTGGTTTTGGTTTACCAGTCACAAAGCAGCGGAATTTGGCATGTTTGCCTTCAGTAACAGCAAATATTTTTACTTTAGTTGACTTGGTCATGCTCTCGTCTTTGAGTCGATTTGGCGCTTGTCTACCAGTCCTCGGTTTACCCTGCTGGATTTTCCAGTGACCATTTGTGTAGCCGTTGCGATTTCCTTCTTCTTCATGTCCTGGACCTGCATCAACTAGCAACACAGCTCCTGCCAGCGCTTCCCCAAACTCATTCCTAGCTTTGCATGTATATACACCCCCGTCTGGAGCTCGGGTCTTGAAGATTTTGAGCTGAAACCATCCACCATCCTGGTAGCCCACATTAAAATGTGTACTCTCAAATATTTCGTTGAGTTTTCTACCATCTTTTTCCCAGACAACCTCCGGTCTTGGGCTTCCCCAAAGCTTACAGGAGAAGGCAGCATCTTCCCCACGACCGACTCGAGTAGAAAGGGGCTTGATCAGGAATCGTGGCTTTTTTTCCTCCCTTAGCTCCATTTCTTGTGCCTCACCTTCAACCTTCAGAGTGGCTGCTGCATATGTTTCCCCGATACTGTTCTTTGCTTTGCATATGTATTGTCCACTATCTTCAATAGTTACTGCAGAAATGATAAGATTGTAAACATTTCCATCTTCAAAGACCCTATATCGTCCTTGAGGGTCAATCTTTTCATTGTTTTGCTCCCAGATGACGGCTGGCCTTGGGTCTCCTCCTATTTGACACTTTAGGACGGCCTCAGTCCCACTTTGCACTATGACAGGTCTTGGATAAGCTAAGAAACGTGGAGCACCACCAAACACATCCATTTCTGCTTCTTGGACAGCTTCCTTGCACCTCTGGTAGTCTAGGAGAGTTATGAGCCGCTATGGACTGATGCAAGAACATCCAACTTCTTCAATGTAACTTCCTAAAGAAAGAAATAACAAACTGATTATTTTGTTAAAACATTTCAGGCCTTTTGGACCATATGAACAAACGTTAAAATCAGCATTGTATTTTCAAAACTATGAAACTAATCTGTCAAACATGATGTTAAACATTATTTCCACAAAGAATTAAACCTTTATCTTTTGGAATGGAAAGAAAATCCGCTATCATTCCAACACTCACCCTTTGCCCCCATGAAGTGCATGTCTTTCAGCACAAACAGATGGTATGATTATTAGGGATAATTGAATAAGGTCTGCCTGTGTGGGAGAAAAATATAGTGGAGCAGTGAGAGGAGGGACAGCCCAGTCCGGTTGCAACAGCAGCCACAACACATAGCCAGCACAGCTGGTGCTGTATTTCACTGGGAAAGTGCTTAATATAGGAACCCCTAAATAAAGACCTGCGAGGGCGTGTGTGTCAGGTATCACAAAGACGGCTCAGAAATCTGCACGCTCACTCGGGCACAAAACCACCGTCAAAGGGACCATCCTGCTCCAATATATCCATATAATAATATATACATATAATATATATAATATATACATATAATAATGCCATAAGGAATTCAAGAAATGCATATTTTTCCAAAATCCTCTCAGACAATAAAAATAACCCTAAAATTATTTTCTCCACAATCAATAATATTCTCAACTCCAACCAAAACTCAGCTCAGAAAACCCCTGAAACACTCTTTGTGAGAAGTTTGCAGCCCACTTTAGAGGGAAGGGAGACACCATCAGATGTAACATTTTATCCTCCCAACGTAACACAGTCTTAGACACGTCTGAGAGTCTAACTGAGGAAACACTGGACAGTTTTGTCTTGGTTGAAGCTGAGACTCTTGATAAAGTTTTCCCCTCAGTGAGACCCACCACATGTGTCCTGGACCCTGTTCCCACTAGGTTTTTAAAACAATTTTATGATTCTTTTAGAGATGAGGTTTTAACTATGATGAATTGCTCCCTTCAGACAGGGGTCTTTCCTGCCGCTTTTAAACGGGCGGTGGTGAGGCCCCTGCTGAAGAAGAGCATTTTAGATTTTAATGATTGAAACAATTATCCACCGGTATCCAACTTACCATTTTTAAGCAAAATTTTAGAAAAGCTTGTTTTAATCCAACTCAATGATTTTATCAACACCCATAATGCTTTTGAAAAATTTCAGTCTGGTTTTAGGGTGAACCACAGCACAGAGACAGCCCTTCTGAAGACTTTAAATGATTTTAGAGTAAATTATGACAAACGTAAGGTGACTGTGTTGGTTCTACTGTAGACCACACTGTTCTTTTAACTTGTTTGAAACGGATCGGCCTCTGTGGTGCTGTTCACCAATGGTTCACATCCTACCTCACAGACAGGACTTTTATGGTGAGTTTGGATACCTGTTCCTCTAGGGTCCATGCGATTACATGTGGTGTGCCCCAGGGTTCAATTTTAGGCCCAGTGCTTTTTAACCTTTATATGCTCCCTCTTGGCAGTGTCATCAGGAGACACGGGGTGAGTTTCCACCTTTACGCCGGGGACACACCGGCCGCGGAAGCGCCGCAAAAATGGGACCGCCTTCATTCGGCGCCCTTGTTAAGCTATTCTATAGACCACATGGGCCGCCGAAGCGCTGCGAATCGCCGCGCACCGGCGCGCGCCGGCACTCCAGCCCGCGCTATGCAGCGATCATTTCGGCATCGTCTCTATTTTTCCGCGAGCCGCGGGTGAATCGCGTCAATTCTGGCAAGATGTCAAACCTAGAGATAAGAGGCAGGCCGGTAAAGTTAACAAAATAAAGCATTTCAAAATAAAATTCCGCAATAGTCAAATGTGTTCGTAATCAGACACTGCAGAAAAACCACACGAACGCGCACACACATCGAACATGTGTGCGTGTGTGACCACGTGAAGGGGGGTGTGGTTTTGGGTGTCTTTTCACTGGAGCAAACAGGACAGAGAGGCAGAAAGTCTGAGGCAAGCAGTTAAGATGGATGACTTTAAATTAATTATGGAAGTTGAGAAACACAAGGAGCTGTACGACCCCCGAAAAACATGATTATTTACGTTCCCATTTAGGAAGAAACTGCTAGGATACAGCTGCAGAATTGGAGCGGGTTCCAAGAGATTCAACTGGCAGAAACACACACACACACACACACACACACACACACACACACACACACACTCAAACGTATAGGAAAAGAGCTGAGAAAAGGCTGAGAGGAAATGGAGGACACCAAGTGTTTAAAAGAAAAACTACAGCTGGGCCGAGGCGCGCCTCGACTGGGGCGCGTCTGATCTGAACTGAGGAGCGGCGAGCAGCGGCCGAATTTTGTGAGCGATTCGCTTCTCGGCGCTTCTGCGGCCGGTGCGTCCCCAGCGTTACGCTGATGATACACAGCTGTACATCTCTGTGTCTCCTGATGACACACGGCCAATGGACACACTTTTTAATTGCATTTTTGATATCAAATCCTGGACGGCAGAGAACTTTCTCCAGCTCAACCAGGACAAAACGGAAGTTTTAGTCATCAGTCCTGAGGCCCAGAGAGAGAAGCTTTTACCAAAATGACAATCACTGTCTCTTAATCCATCTTCACAAGTGAAGAACCTGGGTGTCATCTTTGACTCTGAGCTGGCTTTTATCCATCATATTAAAAATATCACCAAAATAGGTTTTTATCATCTAAAGAACCTCGCCAGAGTCCGCCCCATTCTCTCTCAGGCCAATACGGAGACGCTGATGCACGCTTTTATCACCAGTAGGATAGACTACTGCATTGCCCTGCTTTCTGGTCTTCCTAAAAAGAGGATTTCAGGTTTACAACTATTACAAAACTCAGCAGCACGTGTCCTGACGAAGACCAGGAGGCGGGAGCACATTACTCCAGTTTTAGAATCACTGCATTGGCTCCCCGTATGTTTTCAGGATCCATTTCAAAATACTTTTAACAGTTTTTAAGTGTCTTAATGGTCTTGGGCCTTCTTATCTTTCAGAACTGCTTTTACCGTATGAACCCACGCGGTCTCTGCGCTCCTCTGGCAGCCGTCTCCTTGTCATCCCTAAAGTCAGGACGCATATTCACGGCGAGGCGTCTTTCCAGGACTACGGTCCTCGCCTCTGGAACGAGCTGCCAGGGGACCTCAGGGCTGCTGAGAACGTTCGTGTTTTTAGAAACAGACTCAAGACTCATCTTTTTAGCTTAGCTTTTAACGGAATACTCTCACTTTTTAAATTAATTAATTACTTTGTTTATTTATATGATCTATTTATTTTATTTATTTAATGTATTCTTTCTTTATACGTGCATTTTAAACAGTTTTTTTTACCTTGATTTATGATCAACATTATTTTAATATCTATGTAACTTTTTATATTACAATTCTCATTTTAGCTCTTTGGATCTTATATTTTAACCTTAATTTAACCTTTTTCCAGTGCTTCCTCTGTGGGAGCCCTCTGCCCCGGCGGTGGTGGTCGGCTGTGGCGGCCTGGGTGTTTTCCATGTGTGCCTGGGTGGTGGTGGTGGGGGTCTCTGCCCTCCCTGCCCTGGGCGCCCGGTGTCAGTGCCTCGGCTGCTGCTGTGGACCTGCTGCTGTCAGGGCGGAGGGCTCCCCTGATGGTGTTTCCTTATCCTCATCTTAGCTGGTCTGGCTCATCTGATCTCAGACAATCGTGCTTTTTTACCATGGGGAAGGGGGCATGTATGTATGTGTGTGTGTGTGTGTGTGTGTGTGTGTGTGTGTGTGTGTGTGTGTGTGTGTGTGTGTGTGTGTGTGTGTGTGTGTGTGTGAGCGTGCAGCGGTGGAGGAGTGTTGTGAAGGGGTTGTTATTGTCAGACTGTTTTTAAAATTCTGGGGATGGGAGGGAATGTGGGTATGTGGGGCCTTTTAATTTGTTAAGCACTTTGAGTTGCATGTATTAAGTGCTATATAAATAAGGTTGATTGATTGATTGATTGAATATCGTAAAATCTTTCTTGACAATGATGTTGGAGGATAATTTATTGAAATTGTGAAGTATTGTATTTAATAATCCCCAATGCTTTTAAAAATCAGTCCTGGAAATAACACATTTTATCCATTTGCCTCCCCCTTGTTAGTAGCTATTATTATTATTTAGAAAATATGTTTAGAATATTTTTTTCTTGTTTTTATTCTTGTTTTTTAATTTAATGCACCATAGGAAATGGCACTACTTTTTAATTTTGTTCTATTTGTACAATGACAATAATGACATTCCATTTCATTCTATTCTATTCTATTCTATTAATATTATTATTTCTGCAATCTCATCTGTCAAATTCATTAATGATCACTTTCTAGGTCTTATACAATGGGATGCTCGATAAAGGGCTTGTGATCACACGTGATTATGTATTGCATTCTGGAACATGGTGGACATGTTGGTGTAAACAAACAGTAAATCACAGAGAAGAAGCAGATTTGGGAGAAAGAAAATGTTGGACATCAGGGATACGTTAAATAGGGAAGCCAGGGACCAGCATATGGACCAGCATTCTAAATGGTTTGGATCCATGTGAAAGACCTACGACTGGAGCGTCGACGACAACTTGTTGCTGCCACAGTTCTGCTTAACAAACATTCTCGGTTTTCTTGTTTGTGGTGTGAGCGAAAGTAAATATCCGGACGAGAGGTATACATTTGGTTTGTTGGTTTTTCTAGGAAAACAATCAAAACTGTTATCCCATAGAAGTGTAGCAGAAGAAGCTGTGTTGTGAGTCAGTGTGCTCGAATTAGCCTACCAGATTGTGTGTGTGTGTGTGTGTGTGTGTGTGTGTGTGTGTGTGTGTGTGTGTGTGTGTGTGTGTGTGTGTGAGTCATACATGATTTCTGAAAGGCGAAAACTCCAGAAAGATACTTTAAACCACCAAATAGTTCCTGAGTGCAGCCATTGCTGCAGCTCCGCGCTCCCCACGGGGATGGGTCAAATGTGGAGGTTAAATTTCACCAGTGTGTGATGATGACTAATGGGACTTTACTAACATCACACATCTCCTATCATTCATGCTTACATTTTAAATATTTTCTGTACAAAATGACAACTACTTCAATTTAAGGTAGTAACAGTAAAAGTACCATATTTATTTTGTTTCCCACAGCACTTGAATCTCATTGTCCCTGCACGATGATAAGATGTGTGTATTAGTTAGTAATGTATTTTATTGTTGCATTACGGTGTTAAAACATTTGTATAGATCTTCCGGGTTTTTTTAACCGTTTGATAGCTGACTAGCTACACGTAGCTACGTGCTGTGAGGACAACGTGTGTTCGCTACACACGGCAAATTTGTACTTCACACGTTGGGCCAAATAAACTAAAATATCTCTAAAACGTTACCTCACATGTATCATATGAGAGAAAGAGAGAAGTAGCTGAAGAGTTTGATGTATAATCAGGGTAGCTGCAGATTTAAGGGAGCCAAATTTAAGACTTTTTAAGACCTTTTAAGGACCCGCGGATACCCTGATAATACGTGTGTGGTGTGTAAAATTGGTCTTTAAAAGACGGAAAACCGATACAGATGTTTACAAATTTTAAATTTGAATGCTGATTTCAGCCAATATTAATGGTAGACATCCATAAATGTTATAAATAATATGTAAACATTTAGGGTTTATTATATTTTTCATGGTGCATTTTCGTTTGGCGGGCAGCTTTACACACAATGGCCCCTCCGCTCACAACAACGGTTCAAAGGCGTGCAACACTCCTCAGATATTTTAACTATGATAGATATGATGCAAATATTCAAGTCATAAAATCATCTGAAACACAATTAGCACTAAGTATGAGACGCAAGCGGAAGCATGAAAATTAGAGTAATTCTTCATGCATCAGAAGAGCAAACCTGCCAACAGATCATTCCCATGGCACACCACTCACAGAGATGAGGACGTGGGATGTTATTAACAAGGATCGGTTTTATCCCAAGTTGATGAAAATGTCACGATTGTTGTCAGATTAATGTATAATCAGCTGCTAATCACAAAAATTAATGGTGCATGAAGAAGAAATGGGTAGACTATTAATTCTGACCTAAACAGCTTGAGTTATAAAAAGTCACATGTAGATGGACTCAGTTGTTCTGTTGGATATTTTACATCAGGGACTGATCAACCACATTAACATGTGCATGAAAATATCCTGACTGAGTGAAAGACAAACCGAAGCAGGGTTCCTTCAACCCTTTATGTTACAGATCAGGATTACACCGTGTGGTTGCAGCCCGAGGTTTAAGAACCTTCCCAAATAGTCTCCAAGAACTTGACCTTAAAATAATCTAAAGTCAACAACAGCAACAAATCCATCTAAAGAGCATCCAGGAAGCTGATGTTTCTGCTTCAGCAAAACTCTGATCAACAAATCGACAAACTCCTTGGATGGAGGGGACACTTGTTTACATTTAAATACATCTGTTCATTTTAGTACCTTAGAAGTCTGCATGTTTTTCAATATTTATCCAATGAAACTTTAATAATTTGACAAATTGTGTATGTGCATGTATACAGTCTTAAAATTCCTGCAAGATCATTTTAACCGACCTCGCAAGGTACTTGATTCACACAATTTAGACATTGGCCTTTAAGAATCTTCAAGACTCCCATAGGACAGTTAAAGAGAGTGGATGAACTCTGTGTTTACTTGTCTTATTTAATTGGAATGACCTCTGCCCCCGGTGAAGCGGTGCACCCCAACATGCCCTACCTCGCTTCAGTCGCCAGCAATGGTCATCAACATACATTCCGCTCTTGCAATCACAGTCCGAGTTAAAAAGCAATGCCCCTCGTTTCCAGAAGGCTGAGTGGCGTGCACAGTTGTCGCCACACTCGCATACATGCTATCCGTAATGTCCAAACTCGGTTACATCCTTTCCGGCATTTTTGTCCAGCATAAAGAATCAAAAACGGCACTTCCTGTTGAACAAGTTCAGAGCAGTCCTTGAATCTCAGCGTCGTTCAGGCTTCAGACACTCCAACTGTCATTGTTCAGAGAATACTGTTAAATGCTTTTGCAGCTGCTGCCGTCCCCAAAAATACTGTGTGCCTTGATGACAGCAGTGAGGATAAGCTAGGCACTTCCATCCACTTGCCAGCAGGGGCTAAAGATAGTTCAGCTGGCCAGTGCAGAGCAGAGCACTTAGCTTACTTCAAACCTTGCCCATAAAATATAAAAAATCACCAAAATCATATTCAATAAATTGATTAGTTAATTTTTATTTTTACCAAAAATTAAGCTTGAATGTGCAAAAAGTTTTTAAATGAGTGTTTTTTTTATGTATATATTTAATAAAAGTCTAATGATTCAGCAGAGTTGGACCAGCATGTTTGTGTGAAAGTAAGTCTTCATAGTAGCAAAACTTTTATTTTGGAAATTATAAATCATTACAAGGCCTTTTGTCACCAAGAAAAAAAAATATATATATATATATGTATGTATATATATATATATATATATATATATATATATATATATATATACATACATATATATATATATATATATATACATATATATATATATATATATATATACATATATATATATATATATATATATATATATATATATATGTATGTATGTATGTATGTATATATATATATATATATATATATATATATATATATATATATATATATATATATATGTATGTATATATATATATATATATACATACATACATATATATATATATACATACATACATACATATATATATGTATGTATATATATATATATATATATATATATATATGTATGTATGTATGTATATATATATATATATATATATATATATATATATATATATATATATATATATATATATATATATATATATGTATGTATAAATCAATTTTCTGCCGCTTATCCAGAGTCGGGTCACGGGTGCAGCAGCCTAAGCCAGGAGGCCCAGACTTCCCTCCCCCCAGCACCTCCGGAGGAATCCTAAGGCGTTCCCTGTCCAGCTGAGAGACACGGTTCCTCCAGTGTGTCCTTGGTCTTCCCTTAGGTCTCCTCCCTGTTGGACTACCTGAAAAACTTCACCAGGGAGGCATCCAGGAAGCATCTTAACCTGATGCCTGAGCCACCAACTGGCTCCTCTCGATGTGGAGGAGCAACAAATCTACTCCGAGCCCCTCCCGGATGACATGAAGATCGGCCAGTAAATCAAGAGCTTTGCCTTCTGGCTCAGCTCTCTCTTCACTACGACCGACCAGCACAACGCTCACAGCACCAATACGCCTATCGATCTCACTCTCCATTTTCCCCTCACTTGTGAACAAGATCCCGATATATTTAATCTCCTCCACTTGAGGCAGGACCTCATCCCTGACCTGGAGAAGGCGTTCTACCCTTTTCCGATTCAAGACCATGGTCTCAGATTTAGAGGAGCTGATTCTCATCTCAACAGCTTCTCACTCAGCTGTGAATCGATCCAGCAAAAGCTGGAGATCACTGTCTGATGAAACCAACAGGACCACATCATCTGCAAAAAGCAAAGTGGTTTTCCTAACAAATCCATTCAAGCCCATGTCACAAAAATGAGTACAGCCCAGTTATAGTCAGTCTTAGGAGAACAGCCACACTTAAAACTACAAATTTTGAATTGACAGGCATTCAACCACAGGTGAGTCTAACGATTCATTTAAGAGATGTCCAGCAGACAGGTGACAATAAAAGTGCATTAGTTAACAACGAAAAGCCCTTCCCATTTCATGCTGTCAGCAATGGCTCCACGTGGAAGAGAAATGTCACACAATCTGAGAAAGGAAATAATTTATTTACACAAAAAAGGTGAAGCTTAACATATCAGTAAGTACACGGCAGCAAAAGGGATCCAAAACTGGAAGTGCAACCATCTTACGGAGCCATCCAGGCCATCCGGAGCATCTTCTGATGAAACAGAACATGTTGTAGAAAATGACCATGCAAGTTCACTGCAGTTAGCTAAAGCAGTAGAAAGCCAAACTGGAGTGACCGTTTCCCGTGACACCATACGGCACATACTGCAGAGGAATGGCATGCACGAGTATCGTCCATGAGGGAAGCCTCTCCTAAAGGCCATGCATGAAAAAGCATGCCTAGAATTTGCTAGGGCCCATGCTGAAAGAGATGAAGACTACTGGGACTCTTTACTCTGGAGTGATGACTGTTGAGACAAAGATCACTGTTTTTGGAACTAATGGTTTTAGAGCTGTATGGCGTCGTAAAGGTGAGGATTTCAAAGAGAAATGCATGTTGCCTACAGTGAAACACGGTGGTGGCAGTGTCCTCATGTGGAGCTGCGTGAGTGCTGCTGGTGTTGGGGAGCTGCATTTCATTGATGGTATCATGAACTCAACAATGTACTGCTCTACACATAAGGAGGAGATACTGCCATCACTCCGTGCGCATGGTCGTCGTGCACTTTTCCAACATGACGATGATCCAAAACACACATCTAAAGCTACTGTTGCATTTCTGAAGAAGAACAGGGTGAAGGTCTTCAGTATGTCTCCTGATCTGAACCCAATCCAACACCTGTGGGGAACTCTAAAGTGAGCATCGCTCTCCATCCAGCATCCAGGCTCTAAAAGAGGTTGTTCTTGAAGAACGGAGAAAGATAGATGTTGCAATATGCCGCCAACTTTTTCATTCCATGCCTAGAAGACTTGGTGCTATCCCTGAAAATCATGGTGGTCACACATGTAGTAGTTTTTGTTGTGGGGTGTATTCATTTTTCTTCATCCACTTTTAGTAAAACTGAAGATTTATTGATCTAGGTGATATTATTACCTAATTTCATGTTATAGAGTTAAACGCATGTTCAATAAAACCAGCTTTGTGAAAATTGAGCTGCTGATTAAATTTGTACTTTTAAAGGGGGTGTACTCTTTTATTTTATTTTATTTTATTTAGGCATAACCTGTGTACACATTTATTTACTCACAATTAGACAATTTCTTCAGATAAGGCAAAAATGTCTTAAATACAGCTGAAACTATGCCTAATATCCGATAAACTGATATAGTCTAACCCCGGCTTTCAACTGGAAGTGAAAGCATTGTGAAACGGCTGCGAAACATACTTCTCAGCAATGTTATAGTGAACGGTTTCCTTTGCACCAGTAGCAAAGTGTTGAGATGGCTCTGGCATCATGTCAGGATGCCTCTTGGACACCTCCCTGGTGAGGTTTTCCGGGCACATCCTACCGGGAGGAGGCCTAAAGGGAGACCCAGGACACGTCGGAGGGACTATGTCTCTCGGCTGGCCAGGGAACTCCTTGGGGAGAGGGAAGTCTGGGCCTCTCAACTTAGGCTACTGCCTGACTCCGACCCGACTCCGGATAAGGTGGAAATGGATGGAAGGACGGATGGATGGATGGTTTCCTTTGCATCAGTAACAAAGGAATGTTCTGGATGCGTCCCAGAAGCGAAGGGACGCTATCATTACATTTCAAGTCTATTTTTTATGTGCTACGCTTCCAAAACATGTACAAATTCGCAGTTTAGATCGGACCACACAGGAAATTAAACAGAAAGCAGTGTAAAACATCTGGAAACTTTCAAAACAAAAGTCACGTGCAGATAAACGTACATAATTTCACATCTGAAATGCTCCCAGTAGGAAGGGAGCTTTCGGGGAAAAAGCTGCTATTCCGTTACTCGCCGCTTTCATGTCTGGTGGAAAGAAGGGCTTAAACTTTTAAACCGATGACACTATGTGTGGGGTTCCCCCCAAAAAGGAAGAGCAATAAAAAAAACAGCCACATTTTGTTGTTACAGTAAGTAAGTAACATCATGCATACTTAAACACTATCAGTGCAAACTGACTTCTTCAGTTTAAGTTAGGCCAGTTGTGGCAAATAAACAAAAGTATTTAAAAAATTGATACTTGGGACCTGTCATATTTTGACATTTTGAATGAAAGGAGAAGTAAGAGTTTGATGTATAGAATGTACATTATGTGTGAAGGCTGTGTCATTTAAGAAGGTAAACAAATACCGATATTTTCCGTCAGTACTGGACGATATGGTAGCCCAAGTGGTAACCTTATATTCAAGAGAAAGTTTAAAATGTAAAGTCAGTAAACAAAAATTAAAACATCAATATAAAGTATTTGTTTTCTAATTTGTACTGCTTATACTGATTCTTTGGGTATTTTTATAAAAACATTTTTCAAACCGTGTCTCTACTGTAATTTTTGTGTCTATTTAGCATGCTTCACTTTTTATACAAGCAGTGTTAGAAAATCTAACTGTAGCAGGATGATAGATTGTGGCTGCATTTTCCACGCAGGACAGGTTTTATTTTTATTTTTCGCCTATGACATGGGTGCGTGGTGAAAAGCCGTTGTGTGATTCTCAGACTCATCCTTAACGTTGGCTGCAGTCTTTCTTCAGCTGTTTAGTGTCCCAACACTCGACACTCCCACCTCACCGATTTCAGCTGTTGGAGGTAACTCGATCCGCCTAAGGCCCTGTTAGATGCTTAGGAAAGGTTTTGTGCTGAGGCACAAACTAAAGAGCCGCTTTGGAAATATAGTGAGAACCAAAAAATCTCAACTGCATGAAGTTTTCAAATGTTACTCATGTTGAAGAATTATATATTTTTTCATTTATTTATACAACTCTAAATTTAATTCATTATTACTATCAACTTTGATTATTATTATTATTATTATTGTAATATAAATATTTTTCTAATTAACATTATGCTGCAAACTGAAAAACATATTAGTTTGATTTTCCATTTTTTACCATATGTTCACAGATAAGCATCCACATTGAAGAAAGGTCAGTTAAAATTGTAATAGTAAAACATTTGATAAGTTAAAGGGATACTTCTCAACTTTTCCGTACTTTTGAATCGTTTCCCTCAGCCAGTACGTACCAAAATGACCCTTTACAGGGTTAATGAAATGCCACCCAGCCCCTGTCGGCCCCGTGGCCATAACATTCCACTTGCAACATCACAATAAAAATTGAGCTGACGTACCTGGCGCTGCAGTCTGGCTCCAACACGTTTCCTGCATGTTTT